TCCTCTCAAGGTCAATCATTGTCCACCAGTCATCCTCAACGGCCTGAACATGTTCGCACAGCATCAAACCCTATTGCTTTCAGATCACACCCCACAAGTCCAACCAGCCGCCGCTCAGTCAATGAATATACCCCACTAGTGCGCAGTCTGTCCACAGCGGATCTTGAGGGTGCTGGAGACATGCAATACACAGGTGAAGGTCCTGTGGCTGGAGGGACCATTATGGGAATCCACAATTTGGCTATAGTGTTCCCACAATTCATTGTGAGCACAACCTTTTACCTCCATGTGTCTCTGTCACTCTCAGTCATTATCTGACCCTTTGAAAAGGTTGCTGTGGTTGCCTCATTGATTTTCAAAGCAGCCAACTCGGCAGCCAACACTCATTCTACACTTTTGGAGGCTGGTGGGGGTAAAGATGGTGTTGCCTGGGTTTTGAGATTTGGGGGTCTGATGGCGTTTGTGGGTGCAGCAATATGCCGTAAAGTGCCACCCACCAAAACAGAGAAAGCAATGAGGCGGAGGCTTGCAGATATGCAAGAAGAAAGCTATCAATGATCATGAATTCACTTTCTACTTGTATATACACAAAAACCATTAGTACTACTCTGTTGATCCTGCTATGATAGTGACATGTAAATCCTTAGCCACTGTCATGTTTCTGCTCCGGCCCTTAGCTACAAGACATTAAGTCAGTACAAAATATTGTCATGACCGCGTTCCGGCTTTCAACAATCAAGTCCAAAGATTATGTAAAGAAGTAAAGCTGCCCTCGTCGTCACTCAACAAGAACCTCTCTTCCAAAGAAGCTTGGCTCTTCCATGACCCTCTTTACTGTCAGGAGTAAGCAATCATTCTTGAAACATAGAAACACAACTCTGGTAGCTTAGATACATAGAAGTATTCTTGTAGAACATCCCATCAATTGCTATCTTGTAAAATAGCGCATAGATACAAGGTATACTTCTGAGATAGGATTGGTAAGACTCATGGGAAAAATTGGTAAGAGTCATAAGATAGATGAGTCAGATCCATGGGAGAGATGAGTAAGCTAAAGGCTCAAGATGCCTATATAAGCCCACATATTCCATAGATTTGAGGCTCCTCAGCAACCTTGAATACCTGTGACTTGTCTAACAAACAAAAGGGCTGAGTGAACAGATCTATATCCAGACACACTCTTCTCATGAACAACTAACCAGTTGGCCAAGTCTTAGGTTAGTATCATCCTGATACACTCCGCCGGTTGAGTCTGCTAACATTGCTTTAGCATTCCAAGCTCACCAGACCCTGTCAGTAAAACATTATTTTACTGCTGGCTCAGTACACTGGTGGGTATAGATGTAGTGTGCTAGGCGCCTGCACACCCCATGGACTCTTTTTAGCTTTGCTCGCCTTTGTCTTTGTCACTGTCTTTGCTTCCGTTACTTGTTTTGTTCCTGTCCTCTCTTCTAGTCAGGCTGTCTGACGTAGGTCGACACGCCATATTCGCTACCCTTAGCTTCTTCCGCCTGTCTCACCTTTATAATTGTCCTTGACCTTTTGTACGCTTTGCTGCTTGACTTGTACCCTTATTCACTTTGTGTTGTAGACATATCGCGTAGTCATCCCGTCTATTGTCTTGTCACTCATTCATGTATATAAGAAAGGCTGGGTGTTGGGACAGAGACCTCAGACGATCGACTCTTTGACTCTCTTGTCTCCCCTCCTTCTCTTCTTCAATCTCTACTACTCCAAAGACCGCATCCAAGCACATCTGTGTCTTTCCACTTCATGTACTGGGGCTCAACCCTCATTTACACATGGTGACCACTTCCTGTCCCCCCAGAGCAGGCCTGATCACCACAGCCAGCCTGTGGGTTTCTACTTTCCTTAGGAGAATAACAGACTGCCTACGAGCTCAGGCTAACGGTATGTTTGAAAACTGGAGGCTGCTGGATGCAAAGATTCAAAAGTTGGAACATCCAAAAGCACTGTAGCTATCTAACAGAGAATCCGTAGTTGAATGAAACCATTAGGTTACTGGTTCCATACATAAGTACAGGAGCACAAATTCTACTTATATAGTTAGAGAATTTATCTTTTCATTTTGCACCTGCAATGTGTCTTTCTTTGATTCCTAGCCTACCAACAACAATCACAATCACTTGATTCATGTTGTAAGCTCTGCCATTGGTTGCCAACAAGACAAGGCAGGCGGTGTTGGCCAGTCATACATACAATCCCATCTATTGATTGTACCCCAGAAGATCAGCAGATAGTGGCAAGACATATCTCCTCAATACCAGCTTTTGGACCATCATCACCTGTGTACGTGCTTTCCAAATTCGTTACTACGGCTGACAGGGATTATGCTACATAGTATTGCAGCAAGACAAGATTGGTAAGCCTTGCGCCATTATCATATAATCCAGCTCAAGTGTTCAAATGCTCATGTCTTAATGGAGCTCTGGATTTCACCAACTGTAATTGCCCCCTCTCATAATTCGACCTCGGCACTGGTATAATGTTCAGAGCAGAAAGGCATACTGGGGAGAAGCTGGAAAGCATCTGGCATCAATTGAAAATTGGAAAGAAAGAACAGAATAACTGTTGTGTTTGCTTCCGTTTGCTTCATACATTTGCCCCAGCCTTCCCTGGCCCACCCCAAAAAACCTAAGCCTTCCTTGCCATACCGTTTTCCCCCCATGCATGCATAGTCCCCTCATGTTAAACTCGGAAAAAAACTCTATAATAAGGTTCAACCGAAGGCATTTGCTTCCATTAGCTTCCAGCACTTGCCCAAACCTCTCCCTTCACCTTTCACCCCAACACACTTCAGAAAAAATAGGTCTTCCTCCCCATACCGTTCTTTCCCCATGCATGTATAGTCCACTCATGTTGAACTTGACAAAGACTTGAAATAAGGTTCAAGGTTCCACTCATTGCTCATCACTGCCACACATCACACCTCTTCTTTTTCCATTTCTCACTTTCATCCTCACTCTTTCTGCGCTCTCACACTCTCACTTTCTCCAAATTGTATGACTCTACACCTGGAAGCCGCTCCTTAGCTGCGAGCCCTACCGTGCGCAAGACAGCGGCCGTTCACCAATACAGCCCTTGTTGCAACATTCTCCAGTACTGCCTTGGTCCCCCAAGCATCAGTCATTTTCTTTTGGTGTTTCTCACCTTCATCGTCGCTTCTTTCTCATTCTCTTCTCAACAGATCATCGTCTACATGCACAGATTCTAGCCACAGAGCGCATCATTCAATGATTACTTTCACTCCCCCCACCACTTTCACCCGCTAATCACCACCGCACATCCTTCCAACTCCTCTTCTTTTGCTTGTTTCTCGCTTTGATTGTCGGAGCTCTCTTCGAAAGAGTTATTCATCTGCATGCACAGTATCCAGCATCAGAGCTCATCATAGGATGATTCTTTTTGCTCCCCCCACCACCTCCCCCGCACCCAACAACTTCTGACTTCTTACCCTTTCTGACAACCACTTAACGCTGCTGGGGTCACCACCTGCCTCTTGCTTGCCTCTGGCTCCTAATTTCCTTTCAATTTCCTCTCAACTTCTTCCCATCGTTACTGTCATTTTGCTCTATCACTTGCTCGCTCTTGGCTCTTCCCTCAAAAACGCCAAAATCTGCCCCATCAAAACCTCTTTTGACTACAAAGCCCTACAGTGCACCATAATGAAGGTCAACAAAGGCCAGCATATTCCTGAAAGAACCCCCACCAACACTCCTCTAGCCCTTTGGTCTCATCCGCAGGGCAATGTCTGCCAGTACTCTATTGGTCTCTGCAACTATGTATGCGGAGGAAAAGACTTCCTGCAACCAAAATCAAATTTTCTGAGGGGGACACAATGCGACCATATCTTTTCTGCCCTAGTCAGAATGCGACCATGACGTCATATGCACCTTTCCCAAGCCACAATGTGGCCACAAACTTTTCCCGTGGACACAATGTGACCTTTCCAATCTTTTCCAGTCATGATGCAACCATCCATTTTTCTAATATGAGTCCGCAATTTCCGGGCTCCTAAATACGATGCACTTCTGTAAATACCATTGGAAGTTCCAGGCCCTGTTAGTCACCCACCCATTCCCATGTGGAGCGTGGCATTATGTCATCAACATGGAATACACTGAATTTGACCAAATTTGCATTCATTTCTTGTCTTCTTTCTATACAGTTACCAGCATCATACTTTCCACAAGCCCAACCCCTCTTACCATCCATGCATTTCCCCCTCAACCTTGACCGCACCCCCATCATTGCTTGCCAACCATGCCTCCCCTTCAGTGTCTTCATCTGTGTCCACGTCTGCCAGAGGCTGCCTACAAAGCCCCAGTGTGTAACACAAGAGACCCATGCGGAGTTGAATGCTGTACTCGGGTCGCACAAGCTCATTACAGTCCTCTGAAACTCCGCCATCAATGTTCTCTGACACAAATGTCATCAATGGGCGTAAGCCTAGAAAGGCCGCAACGGTCCATGCAACACCGAGGGGTCTGTAACTGTGCCTGTCTTTTTGTTTGCACCACTCGGTTGCTAGGCAAGTCATCTTTTCCCTATAGTCAGCTGACTGCTTCGCATTCGTCCTAATGTTCACCTTAGACGGACCAGCATAGACCCATCCTTGATTTGCGGCATTGTCTACCAGACCTCCCCATCTCTCCCAAGCAAATCTCTCTCTCCATGCATTCATGAATCTCTAGACACAGTCAGTTAGAATCTGTCTTGTCAAACAAAGAGTGCTCACCTCATCAAAATCAGAACTGGCACAATACACCCCCTCTGCCCTGTTGGCCGCAACAATCAGCTTCTGCTGGGGGAAGACGCCAATGGGAATCCAATGTACATTGTTTACATTGACAATTTGCGTCCACATCCTCACCCCTCCAGCCAGCATCCTCCGCCAGCGCCCTGTAAAGAGGCACTTTGCCTTTCCTAGGTCCATCTGTCATTTGCCGGCAGAGGTTGTCAGAAAGCATAGGGGCACATCAAGCATTCCAGCCCATCGTCCTTGGAGCCAGCTCCTTGGTAGCTTTTAGCAAGCCGTAAGCCACTTCACTGGTCCACCATTTGCGGCCTTGGAAGTACTCCGGGCTTTCGCCAATACACTGACGAATCATCCCAAGGTGACTGTGCTGTTGTAGAAGGGATTGTTCCTCTATGGAAAGCTGAGCCTCCAGTGGGTCCTTGGAGCCCATGACGGGGTTCCGGAATGCCATGAACGGGATGCTGGCATATCTCTTTGAGAGCTCAGAATGCGAAGCGGGGGAGATGGTGGGTACCTCGTTGAGATTGCCCCAAGACACTAGCTGACTCACACCAGGATGAGCAGCATTGCCCCTCCCAATAACAACAACACTGTCTCCCCTATCTCTGGCCACCTTCCCTTTGCCATAGCCTCTCTCTTTGGCAAGACAGATCTCCCCAGCACTGCCACTCTCCTCGAAGCCGGTCTCCTCGTCACTGTCCTTCTCTTCCTCCCTTTTCCGCTTAAGATCACCAGCAGCAGCAGCTGGCGCCTCCTCTGCCTTCTTCATTGGGCATTTCTTGACGTTATGCCCCATTTCCCAACAGTAACCACACCTATTGCTGCCCTTGGCCACTTAGTTCCTGCCTCCCCGAACCGGCTCTTCCCCAAACACAGCAACCAAATGCTTCTTTGAGGCCTTGGTGATTGGATGACCATGAACATTGCCGATGGCCATATCAGAACAAGAGGATGATATCCTCATCAGGCTGGAGGCTGTGTTTTGGGATGAACGTGGGCATTTCACAATTTCGGTAGGTCTTGCTTGATGTCATCAGCTCACACCGGATGTAGCGAGCACGATTGAACCTCTTGACAAGATCCTGATGAAGACTGCTCTGCTGTTGGGTGAGACTTTGCCGTTTGGTGAGCTTATCCCTGATATAGTCTAAGGCAAACGTTGCATGACTGCAAGGTAGGCCAGTATCCTTAGGGTCCTGGCAGGAGCACTCAAGAGATGGCAGAGTGAAGACGGTGGTGGCGGTTGGGTATAGTGGAGACCAAACCAAGAGTCTCGATAAGCAAGCCCTTGACGAGGGCCAAGATGTGCCCATGGAGAGTGTCAATGCAAGAGAGAAGACTGGTCAAGAGGGTGTCGAGCTTGCTGATGAGGGCGGTGGACTCCTGGCAAGTGTAAGAAGAGAGGTAGGGCTTGGCAGGGGTAAGGATGTTTATGTTGATAGTAGCAATGATGTCGACCAAAATCTGGCCAACGACAGTCTTGCTGATAGCTCGCTGCTCAAACTCTTGCTTGAGACCGGCAATGGAGACACCCACTTTGGCGTCCACACCCAAGGAAAGGTCGATCCAGCCGTAATCTTGAAAGAGGAGATGGGCGCCATTCCTGGATGGGTCGTTGGAAGCTTGTAGCTTCAAAGGGAGGGGAGACTGGAAGTCATGGGGGAAGGGAGACTGGAAGTCGCGGGGGAGGGGAGACTGGTAGTTTTGGGACTGGCGGGCTGGTTGCTTGTCCAAGATGCATGGACGGATGACCACCTCCCAGAATCTTCTTGTTGTGGAAGGCTTTGAAACAATGGTCACCTTCGCTTCAGCATCTGCTTTTTCCGAAGTGTCAATCCTTCTAATCGTGGCTTTGAATGCCCCAGAAGCTGCTTGACTGGCCTCTTCTAGCTTTCTGAAAACTCGCGGTGGGACTGCTGTCACGCTTGAGGAATGCCCTTGACATGCTGAAGAGAGTTTTCTTGTAAGGGACAAAAATCTTTTTGTTATTGTTGCATATGAAGAAGAACTATGAAAGAAGGCTCTGATTTATATATATACAGGGAGCACGGTCCACCAAACACACAACTAAACAACTTGAATGAACAAACTACACAGATGACCCTATAACCATGACAACTGCACTCTCCTCCTTATTGGCCTGGTCCCCCCTGTCAACAATCGCCTCCAACAGCTTCTCAAAAAACTCCAAGGAGAAAGAGATCGGACCGGCCTTGCGTTCCTTCATGACCCAGGAATTGACCTGTTCAACAATATTGGATGTGGTTGTTCCAAATTGAGGAAGGGGAGTGAACGCTCGAGACCATTGCCGGGGGTGGATGTATGAGGCTTGTGTCTGGTCCTTGATCCACAGGTACTCAAAGAAGCTAGCGTCTAGTTGGCGTTTGGAAGCAGCATCCTTCCCGCTGTTCCAAAGCGCCATGAAGTCATCTTCGTTGGTGGCATAGGCCAGTGACTGGTACAACTCCTCCCCAGGTTGATGGAAGCGCTTCTTCATGTTCCTCTGGAGGTGAACAGAGCAATAAATGTGCTCAGTGTTGGGGAGTACTTCCCGAGAGCTTTTGAGGAGTCCCTGTCGATCTTAATCAGCCTCTGAGTACTGTGGGGTACGCTGTCTGTAATCACCTTTCCCTGGTCTGATACCATCAGAATCTGGGTCCCGGGCTTGTCGATACATAGGTTTGCAGCTTTTAAGCATTCAAAGAACTTTCTCCAGTCCCAGCCGTTTTCAGAACCTGAAGCAAAGACCCACGCCAAGGGGAAGGGGTTTGAGTTGGCATCATACAAGGATGTGATGATGAGATGATGATTGACACAAGTCTTCATTGTCACAAGTGCGCCTCAGCTTCCACGTCATCACACACTTTGTTACGTAAATACTTGATGAGCTGGACGCGTCACAACACTCATCACTCAACACTCATCATTACTTCCTCATTTGAGACACCCCTCTTGTTTATTCCGGTACATCACAACCATCATATCGTACCAGGAGCTACTCATATCTAGGGACATTGCTATCACCCCACTTACACAGCAATTCATCTTAAAGATACAACCAAACCCGACTGAACCCAATACCCATCTCCAACCAAGACCTAGACTCCCAAGCACCCTCATTTGTCTCCACCCCAATAACAATTCAGGAGATGCCCAATTACTTTGTAACCTAGGGACACTTTCTATACATAGAAACACATTCTTTACATATAACCTGCTTCCAAGATATTGCAAGCGTTAGCTGTTTTAGAATTTATTTCCATAGCAACTCATGAGAAAGCGCAGCAAGCCAAGGGAACAGCTTAGTCAGTTGGGTGGCGAATATGGGAATGCTGAGTAAGCCAGTAGGGCTCTGGATGTCTATATAAGTAGATAGTTTCACATAAATTCAAGGATCCCAGCAACCTCAAATACGTCTGACTTGCCTATGAATTAGGAAACCAAGTGAACAGGCCTAGTCAAACTATACTAGCTAAGCCAACAGGAAGTCATCAGCCTTAGGTTAGTGCAAGCCCTATCAAGTCCAAGATAGCCTTGTTCAGGTCCTGGCACGTACACGTATATTGTTGATTGGAATTGACATATACATAGACATAGATAGCCCCTTTTCTTCATTCAGTCAAGAGATACTTTATACTGCTGAGCAGCTGTAAGGGACACTGTGGGTAGGACCTGACATTCATACACGCAGCGTCAACTCCTAGTATTGGGCGGATGTGTTTCAGGAATTGCTTCCTGAAGAAGCTTGGAGCAAAGAAGGAAAATGGATGCATGTTACTGTCCAAACAGGACACATAAGTGCCCTCTGAATCGACCGAGTTGCAATGCCTGGTAAAATTGGGCAAACAGGCCCATTTTTGAGCATGAGTCCTGAAGTCATCATCCATCTTTTACATCAGCAACAACACTAAGCACAGGAACAGCGTACACACCACTGAGACCGGTGAGGGTACGGTTGGTCAAACTTTGGGTCATCTGCACGCCGGTTTGCTGCTTGACCAGCGAGATAGCAGTCCTGCTTTTTGTTTCCGATCCGACTCCGGAAGATTGAAGCTATGAGGCTTGTCAGTTGTGCTATCAACTCATTCATGGAGATCACAACATACCTGATGCTCTTGGAATGGGAATTTGAGCGCTCCAACTCAAGGGGCTAGTACTCCAGGGTGACAACTGTGCTTTGGTTGCAGTTCAGTGATAACCCATGCATCAGGCACACCTGAGGCATGCGCTCTGACAATGTAGCCACACCCATTTTTTTTGGCCTGGGGACAAATGAGGCTATGATACGCTTTCTTACGAAGACCCCACCTACTAGACGCCATGTCCTGTTGCGCTGAGTGATGCGCAATCTGTGCAGACAGCACATCCTTGTTGGCAAAGACTTGGCCCACATACAGTTGGACCGGTGGATGAGAATCACAAAGAGTTTCTACTTGGGTGGCAGGCACACTGCAATGAACACATGATATAAGTAAGAATGTGAGGGGAGGAGGCTCTTACATTTCATGGATATGCTCCATGTTTTGCAAAAAGACAGGAGCCATAGTAAGACTTTGTGTGGGCTGTGTAGCTTTGGTTGAGGTATTGGGTGTGTCAGAAACCGAGAGTTGTCTATCAAACAACGCAAGAGAAGGTTGCAATTGACCAGCTACAAGCAACAGAACGTGTTGCCTTCTACAAGTTGTGTTGCGTCTGAGCCACATGGCATTACCTGACGGATGTGTGCCACACTCCATGTGGGAATGGGTGGGTGACTAACAGGGCCTGGAACTTCCAATGGTATTTACAGGAGGTGCATTGTATTTAGGAGCCCGGAAATCACGGATTCATATGAGAAAAAATGGATGGTCACATTATGACTGGAAAAGATTGGAAAGGCCACATTGTTTCCAAGGGAAAAGTTCGGTTGCTTTGTGGCTTGGGAAAAGTGTATATGACGACATAGTCGCATTCTGACTAGGGCAGAAAAGATATGGTTGCATTGTGTCCAGAAAATTTGATTTTGGTTGCAGGAAGTCTCTTCCTCATGTATGCAAGAAATGCCATGCTCTCCACTGGGCAGGCAAACATCCAGCCTCTGTCAGAGTCAGACACTCCTCCTCTCATGGAGCTACCTTCTCTTCCTGCTGTTAACGGCAGAGTGACTTGGACCGCTCCGGTGTCAAGCTCTTCCAGTCTATAGTCAACACTATCCTTGGCAAGAACCCTCTCACTATCCACCCTCTCATTATCCTCTCCTGGGTTGCTCCTGACTCCCACCACAAGACTGGTAATCTCTTCTACTTTTCTGGCAACATTGCTCATGACAGAAACACCTGACGTACATGTTGTTTGCATTTTGTAACAAGTCTAAGAACTTGCCTGCAAGTTGCTGAGTGGGTTGGATACTTGTTAGAAACAAAGAATATAATAACTTGGGCATTTGCATCTGTTGGCTTCCAGCGCTTGCCCCAACCTTTCCTCCCTTCACCTTTCGCCCTGACACACTCCAGAAAAATTTGGTCTTCCTCCCCATACCATTTTTGACTCATGCATGCATAAGCCACCCATGTTGAACCCAACAAATGATTGAAATAAGGTTTAAGAGTTTGTTTGGCCTTTGCCTTGACAATCCACAAAGCCCAAGGCCAATTGCTCAATATTGTGGGCTTCCATCTCTCACTCCCCGTCTTTGCCCTTGGCCAGCTGTATGTTGCTTTGTTGTCAAGAGCGAGAATACTGGCCAGCATCAGAGTGCTTCTGGAAAACACAGATAAAGGCCATGCTGGCCATACCTGCAAGACTGTATCAAGATATCATATCTTCCACTCTAGAGACGTTTGCATGATCCGAACATGTTGCCTTACTGATGATGTTGTACCAAATGCACCATTCTTTTCCATGCATACACCAACTGTGCCACAAACCCGCTGTATTGGCCAATGGTGTCCCAATATCTCATCTAATTCCGTCTTTGTTGTATTATATCCGAGTTCCGCTGAGTAGATACACAAACTCCCAACTTTAAAGTAGCGTCCTCTTTATCTGCTATCCTGTTAATCCTCTCGGTCAATTTAGCTCCGCATCTCGTTGCCTGCCCGCACCCAATGTACTCTCCACCACTGCCCATTCCCAAATACCACTTGTCATATGACTACATGCCCTCAAACGCCCCATTCACTGTCACATCTACCCCCACATCCAATACTTCCACCCATTCTTCAATCATGGTCGCTTCGGTCTCCCACACCTGGTCCCAGGGTCAAGGTACAGCATTGATACAAGTCATTGATGACTAGGACCACCCCAGTGTCAAGCTTTTTCAGTTGATAGTCAACACTATCAACAACAAGAACCCCCTCACCATCCTCTCCTGGGTCACTCATGACTGCCACCACAAGCCTGGTGATCTTTTCTACTTCTTGTAAGAGTTAGGCGTCTAACTCTTCACTGGGTCGGCGTTGGTGGTCTACTTGTTTGAAAGGGCGATAGAGAAAGAGATACAACAAGGACAAGGCTCACCTGGACGAGAACGATCAATATATGAACTGAGGAACGCAGAAGATAAGGGAAATGGGAACTAGCTCAAGTCAGTCCAGGTGACCATCGAGAACAAGAAGAGATACGCACTGGGACAGAGGTGAAAGGGCGATGGAGAAAGAGATACAATAAGGACAAGGCTCACCTGGACGAGAACGATCAATATATGAACTGAGGAACGCAGAAGATAAGGGAAATGGGAACTAGCTCAAGTCAGTCCAGGTGACCATCGAGAACGAGAAGAGATACGCACTGGGACAGAGATGAAAGGGCGATGGAGAAAGAGATACAATTCCATGCCCCCAAGTACTCTGTCCCTGCGCAAGGACAGTTGCAAACGAAACACACAATCTCACCGAACGAACCACACAAGATACCTTCGGCCGAAGAGCCGAAAGTGGCAAACAACACGTAACAGAGACAAGCGGGGAAACGGCAATAACACAAGTGGCGTTGTGAGTGTCGGCGATAGCCAAGACGCGAGCAGAATTGGTTCCGGAAGATTTGGTTCCGAAACGCGGCTGGAGATGGTTAAGTCGCGAGAGGCGGCGTTCGCCGAAACGCGGCTGAAAATGGTTAAGTTGCGGGAGGCGGCGTTCGCCGAAACGCGGCTGAAAATGGTTAAGTCGCGGGAGGCGGCGATCGCCGAACCGCGACTCGAAACGACTAAGTTGTGGAAAGCAGGCCACTGCTTACACTTCTCTGGCAACATTGCCCATACACTTCTTCTGCCCTGCTCATGCACTCTGCCTTGGAGGCACATATCACGACTTCCTCTCCCACTGGTACATGTCTCTACCCCCAGAAGCCCGTAACCCTCTGACCTGATTGAAGATCCCATGTATAAGACCTTCCTTCCAAGAATTGTCTGGTATATTCAGTGCATGGGCATAGTCTGCAACATGGACAAGAACAGTCGCTTGTTCGAAGTGAGCGACACTATTATATGGCACGTGTTCCTTCCATCAAACATGCCAAACCTAACCTATCCACAGGACAAGAAGGGAGACTGGACTGCTTTTGTCTGGCGTGTTGAGGTACCAGATACGGCAAGATGGCCGTACTGGCATTACAAGGATGGTCAGCACGTCTTTGTGTCTGGCCCTCTGGAGAAGGGGATAGATGGTGTCTACTGCATCAACATGCAGTCAATGCATGCTGTTGGCACCTTCTCTTCTTCCGCTGCCTCCTCTTCCCCGTACTGCGCTACCCCTGTCTGCCAGCGCCCCAAAGTTGCCTTCCCTCATGAGCCTCCAGTTGAATCTTCCCCTGGCCCCACCAAGCAATCCGGAAAGTAGTCACCTCTGCCTTTGTCTGTTGTATTATATGCATCCTTCTTGCCTGTCTGCCAGCCTCTGTTGCCTTTACTGTTTATGTTTCCGCCACACTCACTTCATGTACTTACCAGCTGCTATCGGCGCTATGTACATAGTTCATTTGCATTAGGGGTATTCAATTTGGCGTTTAAGAGCGCTCTTAAACCGTTTTGCTTGCTTAGGTGGTCAGGACTCAGAGACATGTAGATCTTACCCTGAGCAGGGTCCATTTTCGCACCTTGACGGCTCCAAATCAGACCTTCCCGATGAGGCAATTTTGCCAGTCTAAGAGCGCAAGTTTAGTAGTGGGTCATGACCCATGAGGAGTAGGCGACCCCCCCGGCCCTGACTATTTTTTTCATTTGCTTTCGCATGTCCAGTCACTTCCAACCTTATGTAATCAACCCAAACACGCTCTAGCTCACGCCGCCGCACACAACAACAACCCTTCATAGTACACACTCTCATCTATCCATCTTGCACCACTGAATCTTGTGCATCCCCAACGACGACATCCCCCTCGCTGTTCGCCACAAGCCCTATCACCTCCCTCTCTGCCCCCTATAGACCCCAGCACACCCCCAGCCTCCACAAGAGTTCCCCCCCCCCCCACACCCTCCTTATCCTCAACAACTGCGTACAAAAGTGACAATGAGGAAGAGTTGCTGGAGCAATTAGAGGATGGATGGATGTTTAGTGCGTCTCTGAGTGACACTGATACCCCACAAGCGGAGCGGGCGGTGACATCTAACATGAGAGATACCAATACCCAGCGCGTGAGGGGGGGGGGGGAAAGGGACAATGGTATCTCAAGTCATACGACGCCATGAAAGCTGTAGCCAAGTAGGAAGAACGGTGAGCCAGGTAGCTCAGCAGATGTAAATTAGTTGCCAGTACATACACGAGTACAACATATGTATATTTCTTGCAATCAGTTAGCTGTCCCCATGTCCCCATCGGCAAACATGGTTGACAAATTGTTCAGCATTAAATGGTCATGAAACATAAAAATAGCAAGAGTTCAGCATCCATTACCGTGTATGTACATGTAACTATACTACTTGTACTTACAAGTATAATGTCAGGTGCAATGGACTTGACTGGTTTGCGGCTATGTTGAAAGGTCCGGACATGTCTGGTTCAGCTTTGCCAGGCCGGACTTGGCGGAAGCAAAATGAAAAAGGTAGTCAGGGCCGGGGGGGTCGCCTACGGGGTGTCATGACCCACTCTAAAACATACCGCTCTTATACTTGAGAACATGACTGACAGAAAAACGCGACGCGTCTGCGACGCTTTGACATTTTTTATTTCTCTTCTCTATCCATCATAAAATCCCCTTTCACTCCCCTTTCTTCAACATCCACTCTCAACATGCCCACCGACACTGCTAACAAGTCAAAAGGCAAGCGCCGCTCCACCAGCCAAAGCGCCTCGCCCCCCCCCTCCAAGCGGATCCGTACTGTCAATTGGAACAAGGATGTTGGCACAGATGGGAACTCTGCCAAGTACCATCTTGTGCAGTGGCTTATCATGCGCAGTGGCCGTTCCATGAAAAGCAATTTTGAGTGTTTGAAGACATCGCCCAAAGGCGGCAATGGGGGTCGCGCCAACCTTCACAAGGGTGCGATTCAGTACCTCGTGGAGAAGGGCTGCTCCAGTGAGCGGCAACGGACGCTGTCAAGGCGAAGGTGAGCTTTCATTCGACCGCCATAGCCTATGCAGATTGTCACTCTGACAACCTATATAGATCCTCTTGTTGAGAAAGAGTTACACTGAGGCCTTGCAGTTCAAGAACAGCACTGGGGCTGGACAGCTTGATGGGGAGGAGCGAAACAGTGAGTCACAATTAGCCATCTACTCTGCCGGTCTAGAGTATGCTGAAACTAACTGCACACATATTCACTTAGGCGGCGTCCTTAAGAGGTGCCAGTACTTCGATGACCTGAACAAAGTGCTATTCCACCAAGCGGCTTCCATGCCGAAGAACGGCGCTGATACCCTCAGCATGGGCGACACGGACCCTTCTTCTGTTCAACTTGACCTCATCATGCGAAACATCATTGGGAGGGATGATGACGCTGAGGGCATCGAGAAAGAGGATGACAAGGACGAGGATGACAGGGAGGAGGAGGACAAGAATGACAGGGAGGAGGATGACAATGTTGATGAGGATGGGGATGGAGAGGAACACCCTCCAATTGCTGGTATGTGCTGCTCTTTCCCATGCTGTGCATGTCTGGGTCTCCGCTGATAGTTCTCGCAAGTCATCGCGACTCCAGCTCGCCGATCTGTTGCATGCAGTCATAGGGCAGCTAACACTCCCAAGACCCCTCTCAGTCTTCATCATAAGTCTGCTGGTGAGGGAATGACTGCGGACGATGAGATGGAGAGCCTGCAGAAGATTGCCGAGGAGCACGCCCAGCGCCGCCACGATGAGGTGATCCGGTTGGAGAAAAAGAAGATGGAGGCTGAGAGAGAGAGGTTCGAGCTCGAGAAGAAGAAGGCGGAGGTCGAGAAGAAGAAGGCGGAGGTTGAGATGAAGAAGGCGGAGCAAGAGGTGTCGGCCTCTAAGCTCGAGATGTGGCACAAGCACGTGTTGTTTAACATGGAGAGACGAGGTCTGACGTATGAGGCGGCCGCGGCTGATGCAAGCCCGATGATGCCTTCCTTCTTGAGCTAGATAGATAGACAGAAAGATAGATGGACCACCCTATGTAAATATGCTTTCGCTGATTCACATTTGCATTTCATCCCTTCTTCCCCGCATATCTACAATCATCGCCTTGCCTGTCGGCCCCTCGCCTGACGCTGCACCGTTGGCTCCAACCCCATCTCCCTCATCACCCTGTGTTGTGTGTGAGCCCCAAGACCCATCAGCTCAATGACTTCTCCTTGTTCTTCTTCACCTGCCCCATTGCCCGCCCCATTGCCCGCCCCATTGCCCGCCCCATTGCCCGCCCCCCTGTTCTGGACCCATTGTGCCCGATCTTGCTCCAACTCCCGTCTCTCCGCGTCAGTCAAAGGGTCATGGTTGTTGGCCTGGCGGTACCAATCTCCTGTAGCGATGTAAAGGTTGTGGAGGATGAAGCACGCGCGGATCATGCCAGTGGCGATAGCCTCGTCCGTCTCGTTCTTCATCCGCACGCGTAAACCTTGTAAACACTGCCAGCGAAGCTTAGCCATCCCAAAGGTATGCTCAATGAGTACGCGGATTGATGAGGCGTTGAGTTGAATTCCGCCTATGAATGAATGGCCCCAAGTCAGTCAAATTATCTATGTGAATGACTGCAAGAACAACGATCACCTCGGGTGCCCCAAGGCGCGGTGCATTACACTGGAGCTTGTTGATCGGCACGCAGTAGTTCCCAGCAGGGAAAGCAGAGTCCCCTAGGAGGTACTGTCCAGGGGTGAAGTGCTGTGCAGCGTTCTGGATGAGGCCTGACGCGTTGAATACTCGAGCATCATGGCATGATCCGGGAAAGTTGTACTGAGCGTACACAATCCGTTTATCCGCATCGCAAACCGCTAGGACGGAATATCCGTATCTTTTCCTACCGTCAGCGCTGTCTAGGAATATATGTGACCACACTCACCTGGACTTGTAGGAAAAGAAATCGGCAGCGTCTGGACAAGCTGGGGTTTGGTAGAACGGAATCATGACTCTGTCCACAGCGCCCACACACCCTCCAGGGATCCCCTCCTCCGCAAACTTCTTGACAAGGGCAGCCCTGGTAGCCGAGTCTGGCCAGCGCATCGCCTGCTTCTTGAGGGAGATTATAGCAACCACAACACGTTTGGTCCACAATGTTGGTGTGCCCTCTGTCACCAATAGAGTCAGCTAGTGCTATGCATCTGCCAGGGAACACAGTCAACCTACCAGAAACTCCAAAAGTATGGCCAACACCGTTCATGTTGGCACCACTACCATCGTGACCCAGACGGTACAACGCAACCGAGAGCTGGTACATTGGTGGCGCCTGCTTGCAGGCGCCACCAGTATGGAAGATCGGGTGGTGCTTTATGAGTTGTAAGCAGCGTGTGTGCTGCTTCACTGACGGCAGGGAGCGGCGAGGCGAACGGCGAGGGTCTCAGCTATGAGAAGCTGGACTGGAGAACGGCGAGAGAACGGCGAGAGAACGGCGTGGAACGGCAGAGATCGGGCGGGGCGGCGTAACCTGTAAACAGGACCCCAATGCATATACGTGTCACACAGACAGACAAAAAAAAGGCGGTGACTCTGGGCAGAGATCAGTCCTAACTCTAACGACACACACACACAGACGCCTAAGCTTTACAGCAATAGGGCAACGGACAGGGGAACGACGACGGGCAAGAAAGAGAAGCCACGTCGACGTTCCACCAAGTCCTGCCTGCGCGTGCGGCGAGCTCCGCAAAACTCCAATGCTGACGCGGCATTACACATTACGTAAGCACCAACGGAAGCGCTTCTAATTTGTCTAAGTTCTTTCTGCTCTTTGTCCCACAGCTTTATCAGGCCGCCTCCTGCATGCATGCATAGCAGGCGCTTCTCATTTGCTGAGTCCAAGCACTCAAACGCCACAGGCTGCCTTCCGCTAATGCTTACTCACATGCAGTCCAACAGTCAAGGCAGAGAGTTGCAGCCAAAAGGGGTCGACAGGTCGTATGTTCAGGAAGGGTATGAGGCAAGCCTCTTACATGAGTTCCAAGATTCACAGGCATGAGACGGAATCTCTGGCAAAAATCCGTCGTGTTGGTGGGATTCTTTCTAGCCGTAGCATGAATTTGGTCGATGGTTTTTCGCCAGTCACAATCACAGAGGTGGCCATATGCTTTGGGCATCTTCATGTATCGAGACCGGGCAAGCGCGGTGTACATGTTGATGAGAGAGGACTTGAAAGGAAGGCGGAGGGCAATGGCCAAGCAGGCCATGCAGCGGTATTTTGCGAGCTTTTTTTTGTTTTGGGTTGACATGACTCATGACGATAGGGATGTAGGTGCGTGTTAATGGAGACAAGTGGGGAAGTGGATGGAAAGGATAGAGGGCAAGAGCAAAAGCAGATACATTCAATGCGTCACTGTCGGACATGGCCAAAGCGTTTGAGACGGATGGGATCTAATTGGGTCCAGACCTCTGCAGGACCAGCCACATGCTTATCCCTAAGGCCCTGAGGCCGCCAGTTTAAGAGCGCAAGTTTAAGAGCGCCAAATTGAATACCTCTAATATAAAAACCTTACATCCTACCAAAAAAATTGATGACAAGTATATGAGACCCTTTGAGATCATCAAAAAAGCTATCACTTCTTGTCTGGATATGAAAATCAACCCAGTGTTTCATGTCAATCTGCTAGAGCCTCAAACTTCTAGTACAATCCTGGACAAGGAAGAAACCACCACCACCACCCAATGTTATAGACAACAAAGAGAAGTACAAAGCTGAGGAGATTCTAAACTCCTACTTCCAAAATCATTGTCTTGTGTATATTATTCAATGGAAAGGCTGTAGGCCAGACCATATTCCATGACAGCCTCCAGAGGACCTGGAGAATGAAAAAGCGATAGTGGACTTCATGATGCCTCCCCTAGTGAACCACAGTGCAAAATAATACTTGTATCTGGGGCCATCTCAATGATGTAGCCATCTCAAACACCGCAAATGTTTATATTTCCCATACATCTCTATACTTTCATTCCATGTACCTCGACAATGGCCGATCCAATTGACTCAGCAGTCCAATACAAGCAAGAGCATCCCAAAGAGAGCTTTGCAAAATGTGGCCAAACAATTCAAGGTTGCTCCTACCACCCTCAATGATCGATACCACAAAAGACATGCCTCACATGCTGTCAATAGATCTTGCAAGCTCTCTGTCATACAAGAGAAGCTGCTGGTTGACAAAATCAACATGTATGCCAACCGCGGTACCCTCCTGACCCTGGCGCACATAAGAGAGCTTGGACAAGCTTTCCATGGCCATCGCCTGGGCAAGAGATGGGGCACAACTTTTGTCGAGTGTAATTGTACCGACTTGAGCTTAAGATGCTATGGCTACACCAAAGCTGGCTGCCAGGATGCGAGTACAAGGGAGAACTGTGGTGCCTTTCTCAAGCTTGTGAGCAATTTGGCTGGTCCAGAGGCATTTCTGATGCATCTATAGCTCCAAGAGATCTACGACAGCAAAGTCTATTGCCCATTGTGTATCTACAACATGGACAAGTGCAGTTTTCACCTGGGAGGCCAGCGCCTTATGTGCAGGGTCGCCGGGAAGCACCACCCAAAGAATGCACAAAAATCTCTACCCACTAGCAATCACATCTCTGTCCTCACCTGCATTGGCACAACCTCTGCTCCCGTGCCACCTGTTGTGGTCTATCAAGGGGCAAAACTCATGAAACATGGTTTGCGGTGGACAAGGAGGCTGAGCAGCTGGCCAACAACACTGACTCTCAACACTTTCATCATGAAGGAGCGGCTTTTGGAGGCCTTTGACCCTCATACCCGCCCAGCGGCAGACAACGGTCGTCATCCTTGTCTGCTCATCATGGATGGGCACGAGTCTCACATCATGGTCGACTTTCTGGAAGCCTGCTGGGACAGGAACATCAGTGTGCTCATTTTGCCTGCCAAACTCAGTGGCAAGTTCCAGCTGTTGGACGTGGACTTCTTCAATCAATTGAAGTTAAGATACTCAGAACAGCTGGACAAGTACTCACGAGGTTCCGAAGGAAGGCAGGTAGCTAAGGGTGTGTTTTGGACCTGGCATCAAGAGGCATGGGCAAAGACTGCCACCAATAGGCAGATCAGATCCGCATGGGCAAAGGCGGGTCTCTGGCCTCTCAGCACTGAGATCATCCTTGGCAATGTCAATAATCCGTCCACTCCTCCCCCCCAGGCCTCCCAATCTGCGCCACCCTCCCCCAGAACCCCTCTCAGTTCCCAAAGGATCAACACTGCACTTTGAACCGGGGAGCTGGACCCAGTTGAGGCTGTTGCGCAGGCCTGGACGGAAAATGAGGTGCTTAAGTCAAAACTTGTGCTGGTGGAAAAGGAGTTGGAGGAAGCTAGAGCAGCATCGGTGCTAGACCAGGCCACCAGGGGAGGTTGCAAGGCGGTCCAGAATCTGGGTGGGCGTCTGTATGATCCCAAGTACAGGGGTGGGAGGTGGCAGGGGGTACAGTAGACTATTTACACCTCGGTAGTCAGCTGTATAGACAGTCAGCATTGTGCCAAGATGCAAGCTGGAAAGGGCTCACCATTGCTGGGATCTGCCAAGGGATATTTTCCAGTGGTTGACACAAAGATCTTCAGCCTGCCAGGACAAATTCCATCATGAGCCAATGTATGCCAATCACTGTCAACCTCATCATCCCCACAGGGATCGGAGGTAAAGCGGGTACATCAAGGTCAGTTTAGGTGGACAGGTTGGTAGCTGAAGAGTTGTCATTGACTATAAAGATGATTCTTTGTCTCTTGGGGGCTGGGGGTGGATATCACGTTGGCAATGCAAGGCATTTGGACATGGCGGAAGTCATGGACACTCACTGCTAGGATTAGCAGAAACCCAGTAGAGGTAGCAGAGAGCATACTCACTGTGTCCAAGAAGACTGAGTTGACTGTTGAAGGGTATGAGGGGATGGAAGAATGAGAGGGGATGGAAGAGTGTAGGGGATGGAAGATTGTAGGGTGGTGGGTTTGGAAAATGGTGGTAAGAGTTTGAGAACAGTGTTGTCAAGGTCTTGAGCGTAGCAGGAGTCAAGTGGCTTCATTTTGGAGGTGAAAAACACCATTGCTGGCCTCCTCATCCTTATCTCTACTCGCTCATCTTTTACTTGCCATGTATCTTTGACCACCCACAAAACTTGTCCCCTCAGCAGCACCCTCCCTCCCCTCCCATCTTACCAACAGTCCTACTCCATCTTCTCGACTACCTTGATACTCCCCTACCAACATGTCGGATATAGGTCAGAGGAGAACGGAGGCTGAGACAATCGTGAACATCCCACTGGTTGTGGCTACGCTCCAGCAGACGCTCAATCTTCCCGATGACTTTGACTCTAGCGACCCAGAGTTTACAGAATATTTCCTGCAGCTGACCATCATCCTCAGGGCGTCCGGTCTGCCCAACTGGCAGTCACACATAGGCTGGCTTGGCCTATTCACCCCCAAGATGACACTGCTTGCTATGGACACTTTCAACGACTATCTGAAATACCTTCAACAGACTTGATCGGTGGCGCGCCCTCTCACATACAACCGGCGCCAGAGATTAGGGGAGAATGTATGGTTTGTCATATTTGACAACCAGAGTGACAAGGATTTCAAGTGAAATGTGAGTCAGCCTTCTGGATGACTGATAGAGGTGGTGCTGAGGATGTTAGGCAAGGATGTCCAAGAAAACCTTCCACAGTCTTTGGGAAGCCATTCAAGACGACGAGGCTTTCCACAACAATTCAAGGAATCCTCAGGAGCACTCGGCATACCAATTGTACACCACCTTGGTTCGCTTGGGACGACGAGGGAATGGCATGTCCCATGGAGAGGTTGCCAAGAAATTGGGGATCAAAGGTGAGTCATAGTCGTGCAAACAGGGGACACACAGCTGATGATGCGCCTCAGCTGGTACATCATTCCTATGGACTATGAGAACTCTGGAGGCTATTCACAGGTCCCTTGGCAGTAAGAAGTGTATTTCTTGGCCTGATCCCAAAGAGAGAAAGAGGATTCGCAGGGAATTTGGCCTGACATCTCCTTTTAAGAAGTGTGTGGGCCTTATTGACAGCACTCTAATTGAATTAGAGTATGTCCCTGGGCGCGAGGATAAGTGCCTGTGGTATTGGAGGAAGGACACCTATGGGTTCAACGTCCTTGTAGTTGCAGACCATGAGTGTCGTATCCGTCTGATACAATCGGGATTCCTGGCATCAAGCCATGATCAGCGAGTCTATCGTAACACTCGAGTGAGTTCAAATCTTTGCAAGCTGATATGTGGCAGTGCTCATACAACCCCGTTAGATGTACCAGGAACCTGAGCACTACTTTTCTGATGGCAAGTACCTCCTTGCGGACAGTGGCTTTACACCCAACCCAAATTGTGTTCCAAACTACAAGAGCAATGCTGGAGGTCGAAACAGGCATGCAGGTGCAGTCAGAGACCACAAAGTCTTCAACGACCACATCAAGAAGGTCAGAGTGCACATAGAACACACCATTGGCTACTGAAAGGCGCGCTTTCAGAGTATCAAGCTGCTGTCACCACAAGTGACGTCTTCTGATCACCATGTTCTCAATATGAGCGTCTGGATTGTGGTATGTGCAGGTTGGAAATATGGCGTTTTGAAGGAGCAGTCGCTGACACTCATTCCTCAGGTCACTGTGCTACTTCACAACTGGGTCTATACAGAGTCAGCACCTGACTATATTGGTTGCGGCACCTACCCTCCCACGTCTTGATGCCTCTCGCCAGATCATCTTCTGTGACCCCTTCGCCAGTGGGCTTCTGGAGGGCCAAAGCTTCATCGAACACCTTCTTGATTTTCTGAATCTGTAGATGCAGATCAGTGTCATGCCACATCTTGGCTGGTCTCAACTCACCCGGTCTCAACTCACCCGGTCTCAACTCACCCGGTCCTGGACTCCAGAGGCCTTAGCCTTTTCAAAATTTTTGATTTTCTTCTCGGAAAGCCATTTGTAGATCACGTCAGCGGCAAACTTGGCTCTATTGTTGGAGTCCAAGTAGGCAGCCCAGTTCTCAGGCACAGACATCCAGTTGACAAGGTAATCTTCACCAGTACGCCCATCCGGTCCAACACAAATGGTGGAGTTCTTCTTATTGTGTTTCCACCTCCATGCGGACACATCATCACCGTCTGTCTTCCTGTTGGACCTGTTGGCTGTTGCGGGGGTGGAGGGAGGAGCAGGCATGGCAATACGAGCAAGCGGATTTATGGGGCTTCTGAATGTAGATTTGACGAAAGTACGGATGAAGTGCAAAAGCACGCGTACTCGTGGGGGCAAGAAGTAATGACAGAAAGGGTGACCACGTGGTAGACATGTGGTATGCACGTGGTATGCATGTGGCGTTCCTGGCAAAAACCATCTCTGGTGATTTTTCAAAAATCACTTTGGCCTGAAACCCGCAAAACGTTTTTTTCCTCCGCAACGTTTTTGCTGCCAGCCAAAAACGCCTGACGGAAGCAAATATCATCCAAAATGAAAAATCATCTGCGGCAATTTTTTGATATTTGACACATACTAATATACACCATGCTCTAGGATTGCCAAAGCAAACCCATTCACTGGTTTGCATTGGGGAAATTAGGAAAATGGCCAGAAATCCCCTGCCCCAGACCCACAGTGTTCTACAAGGTGAGTTTTGAGGGTTAGCCACAGCACAGAAGAAGGCAATTTATTGGGCATGTCTTGCTGTAGGTGAGTAGGTCAACACAAACCTGCAAGTATATATTCCCAGAGACAAGAGCAAAAAAGACAATCCATGCAGGCAACTAGCATGCTTTGTTCAGTGTCCTGCAATATCACCGGTGATATGACATGTTTTGGATGTTGAGCTGCAGTGTGTCTGTGACATGTGAGCATGTCTGTAAGATATCTACTGTCTAAGCAAGGAACTTCTCCAAACTATGCTTGGTCCCTTCATCAGCCTTCTCCCAATATGGCAATAGTCCTATTGTCATCCCCTGGGTCATTGTCCCTATGATGAAGGATTTGAGTGGTACAGCATAAGCTGGGTCTTTGCTTTCAATGGCGGTGCGACGAGCACCCTCAGGTGTAGCTGTGAGTGAGTTAGCATGATTCATCCTCTCACCACTCTTTCATACCTTGCATGTCACTCCAAACAATAGCATGTTCGTCACCCCAGCACAGAAGGCCATTTCTGTCAAAACAATTGAGCTTTGTAACATGGAGCATCAGGATGTGTTGCACTCACTCGCCTTCTGCCTCATTGTTCTGGGTTTCTCCAAGGACATCCAAGAATATGTTCACTATTGAAGGGAGTGTCAGTGAAGTGCTTGGGCATGTACCACAAATTGGGAAGACTTGCTAATTTCACCATCAAACCTTCCCATTACTTGTTGGTTTCCAGAGAGCAGCAAAGATCCCACACCCATGGCAACAGCCTTTCTCATCTTGGTGCCCCCAACATAATCAAAGTTCCTCCAGATAGCATCAAGGACCTCATCCAATAACTGGTGAGGGTCTTTGTGTTCCATTGCTGCCGCATCAGCCACCATTTGCAAGAAGCTTCCAGCATCTGATATTGCAATGTTGGCAAGAACATTGAGATAAGATGCCAATATTTGACCGGATGCCTTGTCATCTTCAAGAGATTGTGTAATCTGGCTAAAAATGCCTGATTGCAAAAGAAGAGAGTGAAGAGAGGGAACAGGGACCAAAGACACCCATAGCACCAGAGTCTCAAGGATCCTGACAACAGAACCAACATTGGAACCACTGGTGACAAGAGCTTTATTGAGCGAGGATGCCAACACTTGTCCATATTCCTGTCAAGATTAGTCAGCAATATACAGGAGCACACTGGAACAACTTACCTGTGTGATATTTTGGGCATCAAGGAGAAGATATGAGTCAACCAGTCCAACAAGTGTTGACAAAAGATCCATATTTTCACCCAAGACCTGAAGAAGTCCTGGAAGAAGGCGAATAAGACCGGTTGACACATTTGGCTGATAGAGGGAGGTGGCATTGTAAATGGCAGTTTGCCAGCTTGACAAGGTCAGCAAATGTTCAAAGAAAGCTTTTGAGAAACATAAACATACAGAATCAAACCATCCTCTTCAAAAAATTCTTTGGCAGGAGGCTGCAAGCTCTCCTCAATAAGAGGAATGACAAGCTCCATCAATTCACCAGACCTTTCTTTTGCAGCCTATTTGACATCAGCTTGATGGCAGCAGGAGATAGTGAGCACCATACAGTGACCAATTTGGTGCTGAGGACAACCAAAGATGCTTTGAACAGCCATTCTCCCTCCAAACCCCCTGCACTTGACCCTATGGGAGGATTTAGTAGTACGTTACACAACAGAGTGTCATATGCTCACAAAGGACAGGAATGGACTGTGCAACAGACGGTAAGTATGGCATCATCTTTGCAGTAGTCAGCACTTGTTACAAGACACAATAGAGCAACAAACTTTGTCTCCAACCCTTTCAATCACAACACCAATTGCCTCATTGACATATTTCTTTCCATCAAGTGTGCTTGCCTCTCCAAGTAGTTTCACCCTGCACACAAGTTAGTCATGTGATCTGTGGGCTGCAATGGTACTCACAGTTCATGTACAGACTGCTCCAGATAAGGCAAGAAATAGTCAATAGGGAGCTCCCAGAGGTCAACACATTCTTTGACAGCAATGGCGCTTGTCAAATTCACTGCCTTGTCTGAAGATGAACCTCTCTCAGAGAGCAGATACATCAGCATTTGCCATATCACTGGAAGTTTTGCAGAATCTTCATCTGCAGTGACCCATTCTCCAATTAGCCAGGCTACGCGCCGTTTGACAATGCGATGGCTAAAAAGACACACATCAGCAGATGTCCTTGGAGAGAGACAGGCAAAACAGAGCTGACAGAGGATAATCTTGGCCCATCCATGACCCCATTTGAGACAGAAGGCTATTGATGTCTATGCCACCATATGATGCCATGGATCGACTGAGACGGCCAAGGGTACAGTACACTGCCTCGAGCCTCAGGACATTTGGAAGGTCATTTGGTGACATGCCTGTGCTGATGATCAGCGGTCATTCTGTCACATCCTCCACACTCACCTTCTGTTTCAGCGACCATTTTCAACATGGCTGGCTCAATGACTCTGTTCTCTTTTGGTACATTACGACAGGCGTTATTGAGGGATATGAGGACTCGTTCTGCACAGGGCTACCGGATATCAGTCAACATAAAACCCTCAGTGAGTGCGCAGCTTACTCTAAATTCAAATGCCCAAGCCTCTTCATCATTGCTTTCTCTGACTAGCCACTCTTCTGGCTCATCTTCCAAATCTTCGAGGTCAGTAGAGGTCAGGGGCAACAGCTTGTCAACCAGAAGGTGGAAAGCCGAGAGGATAAAATCAGGTGTGAAAACTGATTCAAAGTTAGCCGGTGTCCAGATATCATGCAATCGTACGGACTGTGATGGTGGTCTGCTGCAAGGATAGGAAGTATGTCCTTGAAAAGAAGTAATCCCAAAAGGAGGAATCTCTTGGGGTAAGGGCAATTGTCGGAGTCTGTACTGTCAGCCGTATTCCTGCCAACTGAGAAGGACTCACCATCATTTGCAACTGCTCCATCCGAGTTGGCCACAACCCCACCGACCGCACTCCACCACCATCCAACACCCGATGTGACACCCTCTATGGCACAGAACCGTTTTGGATCTGTAGCAATCATCACCCGCCACCATTTACCAATTGATCGCAGGTGCTTAGTTGCAGACCGAAGAACCTTGTCTTGGGAAGTACCAGAAGAGATCATCTGTACACGGTTGCTTTGTAGAACAGGGGCGTATTGAACGGTGTGTTGGAGAAGGACGGTGATCCGTTGGATAGCTTCAGGGGACTGAATGCCCTTGGCTTTCGCCCAATTCCACTGACAGAACCGTGCGAGAATCCTGTCACAGATCAGCACATGTCAAAAGGAATGACATGTTGAGACTGAAGTCACTCACTTGAAGGCGTATCTTCCTGCCTCTTCCACGGTCGCATTGCCTCCTCCTTCCCTCGTGCTCCTTGCCCAGACCTCCATGACGCTCTGCATCGGTCCCGCAAAAGCCTGCTCGAACGTTTGCATCGCCGCCGCACCCTGTGCTACCCTCACTGTTCGCCAATCTTTGACTAGAGCATTAATGGTCCATATGACGTTCAAGAGTACGACAGCGGCGTCGGCAGGAATGTTTAACGGGTCGTTGAGACAGTTGGCGCTTGAGGTAAAGGCATCGAGGAGAATCTGTGGGAGATTTCCCCAAGTCTTGGGGTATTCGATACGGGCAATGGCAACCAACAGCGAGAGCTGAGGTCGGGCAATCTGCAACCAATCTGTCAGCGCCCGAGCACGGCTTTGTTGCCATACTCACACCAAGCTCGGCTTCATGCAGGAAGGAGAAGAGTGACTGTCTGATGTCAGGCTTTCGGGATTCAGGGACAACGCTGCATCAGATCAGTACAGTAATCCTTGAAGCGGATTATGGGACGTACGTTTTGTTCCTCCACTTGGTCTTCAGCTCGCGACTGGTAACCAGAGAAGCCATGAGCCTTTCATTGTGACTGAGGCCCCGATCGGTGGACAGCAGTTGAAGAGTGACAAGGAACTCTGGGCTTTGTCAGCCGCGAAGGCAGAATGCGAGAAGGCAGGCAGTACACACCTGGCTCTTTGAACAGTGCGGCGAAGGTCTCTTGGTCCTTCATGTACTGCTCATTGGGCGAAGGGAACGCTACTGCGTGGAGCAGGCGCCTGGTCTCTGTCTCCATGACCAGGGGGGTGATGACGAGAAAGTGGTTGACGGCTGTATGCAGGGCCACGCACAAAGTCTGAACAAAGCTCGACGACCGCCAAGGCACCGCCGAAATCAAAAGATCAACATTTACGTAATTGAAAAAGTTGGTTGTATTTGGTGCAGCACTCTGCGTCTCATCCACCCATTGCCTACGATGTCTGTTCCCAGGCCCATGTTCCACTCGCGCTCCCACATAGAGGCCGGCGATGTTGTAATCCTGTACATGGTGAGTATGCGTCTCTCCATCGGCCCCAGGCTCATTTCTCGCAGGCTCGCGACAACCTGAGCGCCATCACTGTTCAGCCTGGGGAATACCTTCACAACAAATACGGAAGATACGCGCATGATGCCTTTATTGGCCAAAAGTTCGGATCCAAAGTAGGTTGACGATGCCCTGCCAGTGTCCTACTCGACTCACATATTCTTAGGTTCATTCTCCTCCACCCCATTCAGGGTATCTCCACCTCCTACGTCCTACCCCAGAGCTCTGGACTCTGTCTCTCCCCCATAGAACCCAGATTCTTTACCTCCCCGACATATCTTACATCACCATGCGACTTCAGGTGCGAGTCGGAGGTAAGGTAATCGAGGCGGGCACGGGAAGCGGGAGCATGACCCACAGCCTGTCCAGATCAGTGGGGCCGAGTGGGAATGTGCTGTCGTTTGAGTATCACAGGCCTCGTTTCGAGACGGCATTGGAAGAGTTTGAGTCTCATGATCTGCGCAATGTGCGGTTACAACATCGAAATGTCTGCAAAGACGGGTTTGGCGATGCCCAAGGGGTGGAAGCTAGTACGTTAATGATTAACGCATGTCTAGCATTTGCTCATTGTCGACAGTCTTTCTCGACCTCCCTGCACCCTGGGAAGCTATACCCCACGCTATCAACAGCCTCAGAGTAAGCTTCACGCGTTTGTTCGACATGGAGGCTCATGTATAGCAGACCGATACCGTCACACGGATATGCTGCTTCAGTCCTTGTATCGAACAGGTGACCAGGACTGTCACATGTTTGCGAGAATTCAATTTCCAAGGTAAGTGCTGCGGACACTTTGACGACGGAAGGTCTAACCTCGTGCAGAAATTTCCACCCAAGAGGTTCTCTTACGCACTCACGAGCTGGTCACATTCCCCGACAATGCTCAATACCTCCACTCCATATCCTCGGTCGTCGGTAACCTGAAAGAGCAAGAGCTTAGAAAAGAAGAACGGCGTATTGTACAAATCAAGACGGCGCGGGAGAATAACCGCAAGGCCAAGGTTGATCAAGCTGGAGAGGGGACTTTGGCAGAGGGAGAGGCAACGTCCAAAAGAAAGCTTGAAGCTGTCGCTGAAGATACTTCCCCGGCTATTGCCGAGAGCTTGGGAGCCCCTGATCTTTCCGGTTTCTGGAAGGAGCCCGTTCCATTGCCTTCCAGTGTCATCACAAAACCGTCCACCGAGATGAAAGGTCACACCTCCTACCTCACTTTCGCGCTTCTGTATCCAGAGTCGATCCGGGCAGACATTGCCGCTCAGGTCGCCAAGGAGAAAGGGCAGTCGATATCTGCTGGCGTGGGGGCAGAGAAGATTGTGGAGAGCCAGTATGATGAGGACGATGAGATGAACGAGGCTCTGAAGGGGTTCATTGCGAAAGGGAACGTACCGTGATTGGATGCATACTGTTCCGTGCCCGTAACCTGTCTGTAGCTGCTCGAGCTGCTGCAATGCCTACCGCCTGCCGACTCGGCTGTACGAGCGTCCATTCATGGCGAAGGGAATTCTTACCCCGCGCCGGCGCCCGAATGTGAAGGGGTTATTCTTCTTTTGTTTCTTTTTTGTGCACTTTTACGTGTTGCCTTTGCAAGCCTGCTGCACGAGCCAGAATGGGCGCCCCCTCTCTCGAGCCCCCCGCCACCGTCGTATCTCCCCCCTCCCCCACCTCCCACAAGCTGCTCCCCTCCCCCCATCCCGTCCCCGCCATCCACTCCCCCGAGCGCCTCGAAGCCCCCGTCGATTCATTGCCAGCTCCTCCTGTCTCGCAATCCCCTCCGTCCCTGGATCTCCACCATCCCTCCCCCTCCACCGAATCTCCCACTCCGTCCCCTTCCCTGCTCCGCCCTGCATCACCTATCTCCGCATCGCATGGCGTCCTGCGCTCGCCCTCTCCGTCCTCTCCTTCCTTCCGCCCAAAAGTGGCGCATCACCGACGCGCAAGCTCGACCCATCGCGTACGCGAGACTATCGATGGGACTCAGACCGCGAGCAAAGACGGTGAGCGCATGATCAATCAGTACAGAATCGGCACCTGTATCGGTCAAGGCGCGTATGCCAAGGTGGAGCTCGCGACAGATATCAACACGGGCATCAATTATGTGGGTCATCTTGCGCCGTACTCTGACTGTAGTCTCTGACGAGTGGCACTGAAGGCGATCAAAGAATTCTCAAAATCTAGATTACACCACCAGTCTGTACAGGAGAAGCATCGGTCTACTGCACGAAGCAGACGTCCCATGAGAGGTCCCAGACGGGGCCTTCAGAGAGGACCGGCCCCTGATGATAATGATGAGCCAAGCGTATTCGAGACGCACAAGGAGGAAGCACCTGCTGAGAGTGCTAGAGACCCTCTAGGGCTGATTCGGAGAGAAGTCGCAGTGATGAAAAAGATAGAGTGAGTTCAACGGCGAGGATCCGACCGCTATAGCTGACAACATTGCAGCCACCCCAACGTGAGTCAAGAGAGTGTCAGTACCGATGCCCCGCTGACGAACCTAGCTTGTGCATCTTTACGAAGCAATATCCGTCCCCTCAGCCGACGCCTTATTTCTCGTTCTGGAATACATGCCCGGTGGCACTCTCATGAAAGTCCAGATAGGTCAAGACGACGCGGCAATCCATCCCCCCTTCGACATCTGGCAAACTAGGGAATATTTTCGGCAACTCTGCCTCGGACTCGAATACCTTCACGCAAACGATGTCGTCCATCGTGATGTACGCCGTTTCTTTACCACATTGACGCGGAATTCAGTGTTAATGCGGCAGTGTAGATCAAGCCAGACAACGTTTTGCTCTCTGCCGATAGGCAATTTGTGAAATTATGTGATTTCGGTGTATCGGAAATGTTCACTCGTCACGGGGACGACCGAATTGGCAAGTCGGGCGGAAGTCCTGCTTTCCAAAGCCCAGAGAGTTTTCGTTGTAAGCTCTGATTTCACACTAATCACAACAGCGCTCAAAGACTATACAGCCTCTCCAGATCTTCATGGCCGAGCCGTCGACATATGGGCTTTGGGCGCCACGCTGTACTGTATGCTGACCGGAACGCTGCCGTTCAATTACCCCAACGTCATCGAACTTTACGCTGCTGTGATGGAGAGAGAGTAAGCCGACCGAATATGCGGTCAGAGCTGATGCAAGAATAGTCCTCGGATACCCGATGACTGGGAGGATTCTCTCCAGGATCTAGTGCGACGGCTATTGTGCAAGGACCCAGAGCAGAGGATAGTCATGGACGACATCAGGGTGAGTACTCGCGCACAAGGAGCAGGCAATGTTTAATTTGCATAGAACCATCCATGGACGACAGACAGCGGAACGGAGCCCATGATCAGCACAGATGAAAATCTCTATGATGTGGGCAAGCATGTTGAAGCGCCAACGGAAGAGGAAGTCAGCCATGCAATCGGAACTTTCCGTGGGATTTTGTGAGCATTAACTTTTGCTCCCTGGGCTATCTGTGCTTACCACATTGCCAGCCACATGGTCCGTGCCGTCAACAAGTCAGCTGATCCGCCCGCTTGAATTCGTAAAACTGACGCTTAGTAGACTCCGCCGCCTTCACCTAAACCGCACAACCTCTCAATCCATTTCCTCTCCCAGCAACTCTACCGATCCCTCGCTTGCATCCGGTTCCATGGATTCATACGTCTCCCGCGATCCTCTTACTACCAACACCTCTCTCTCCTCGGACCCTGAGGACGGCGAGTTTAGAGATATCGCTGGGGATCAGGTCATGTCCCCTCGGCAGATGAGTTTGGTCTCACCGGCAGAGACAGAGAAGCAGACCCCGTGGAAGTTCAAATTGAACGATCTGAAAAAGCTGAATACGGATGCTATCGATCTGGAGGGTGTGGGTGCGGGCCAAGAATGGGCTGGGGCGGTGATGGTGGACTCGCCCACATCGGAAGATGAAGATGCGCAGACAGCGCGGGTGGGTAGTGGCTCCAGCCAAATGCCCTTCCAGTAAACGTCTTCCTCCGTTCCAGTATCTGTGGTCAAATACACGAGTACCATCAGAACTTTTTCGTATCTTCATGAGGAACGTCATTATACAAGAGACGTGGTTCGGCGTTTTAATTTTGTCCTTGTTGTATCTGTATTCGGGCACCCGGCACTTGTGTAAATATATAAGATTATCATGCATTGTCGCGACGTGTAGCCTTGTTTCTTTGTTACATCCCATCTATTGAGGACCACCGCTGGGTGCTTGCAATGCCTGGAATTGCTGTTGCAGCAGGATGATCTGTGAGGCTGTCAGCGTAAGGACAGGCATTGTCAAGTTTGAAAACGTACATCTTCTTTCTTTCTCGCTGCTTTGCTCTCAGCCTCCTTGAGTTGTGACTCTACCCTTTGACTTGGTGACAATCAGCATGGCTGCCACTTCTTCTTCGAGGTAGACACTCACATTTCACTCTTTATAAACTCCAGACGCTTCTCCACATTCACTTTGGCCTCTGACGCATCTTGTGGCACAAGCCCTGGGCCTATCAGTTTGTAGACGGTGTTGTGGGGTTTAAGTATGTTGAATTCCTACTCATTTCATCAGCTCTCAACGAGAACAAGGCATAAGGGGCAAGGGTCTCACTTTCAAGACGAGCTCGTTCTCTGAGAACTGAGAGTCCAGCCTCTGTCTCGCTTCGATGATACCTGCGAGCTCTGCGACCATATTTCAGCAACGGTTACACACGTCAAGTTCTGACTTGCCATTCTCTATTTTCTGGAAGGCTACAGTCTCGGACTGCAGCTGTCCTTGGACTTGAGCAATCTTCTGGTCGGCCATAGTGAACTGATGCTGATATGTTGATAGTCGTTGTTATACAATGCTGTGCGTTTATTCCTGTGGTGCGGTACTGGGTCCGGGGCTCAGTGATGATTGATCTTGATAGAATGGCGATACCTTGTCAAAACATTTATCGCCTTCCGAACGGAGGCTGCTTTGTGACGCGAGCTGGCGGCAATGTCCGCTCGGCCTTACTCTATGTACTTGTACACACGTTCTCGTCACCCCAACTCGACCAATCACCTCTCTTTGTGCCAACGCAGCCACCTACATGACCCCCCACATCACGTGCTGCACGTACACAGGTCATCACCCAGGCTCACACTATGCCTCCAGCCCTCCCATCCCCTGATTCCTCGTCGTCAAAGCGGCTTGTGTCCGCTTCGGCATTCAAGTTCTCCCTGGGATCCAAGCCCACCAAGAAACGGCGCACTAGTGTGACGACGGGAGTGCCCCAACCCACAGATGGTCGAAATATTCTGCGGTCGGAAGCCAAGGAGCCTGCATTTTTGGAGGACGATGGAAGTAGGAGCACCAAGTCGGTACCGGACGAGGGAAGTGAACGTTCTGTGCGGTCACCTTCGAGAAGACGGGAGTTTTCGGATCTGCCCTCAGCCAAATCGCCAGCCATTGACCGGTCAGTACAAGACGGAAGGAATATGGCGGATTTACGGACGTCTCCTTTGAACCTCGGGTCTTCCAGCTCCACCACATCTATAAGACAGCCTCCCCGATTTTCGTCGCCCTCCGTTCCACGAAGCAATAGGCCTGCCTTGAGCTCCTCGAGCCTCGTGCCCCTCAGCCTCCGAGCCCTGCCAGCCGCTCAGCCGTATGACTCCAGATCTTTCACACCCGTCACGGCGCCCTTTGAACGGGTAATCAAACGAGAACCTCTCGAAGACGAGAGGAAAACGTCTCTGGTGAGATTAGGCGAAACGAGGCTGTCGGATAAAGTGACGGAGGATATGATGATGAGCAAGAAGGTGGTGGTTGCAGAAGAAGATGAAGGGGTGGGGGTCTCGCCTAGAGGGAGAAGGGTCACCAATTGGCCTAGCGCTCGGTAGATTCTCTTTCCTCACAGGTCTCGTTGTGCTGACTCGGCATAGAACCATGCCCTCATCGGTCCAGCTTGCCAACCTGCTATCCTCTGCCAAAGCTTCACAAAATCTCTTCCACACCTCCCTTCAGAACGCTCTCTTCCCCGCTTCTCGCTTGTCGGGACGCAAGCGACCCCATGATGATTCCCAGTCGTCCCATTTGACGGCTGAACTATTTATCCACCGATCGGCTGCTACCATTCTTTACCCGGTGGAAGCGATTGGGCAGGTGCATGGGACAATCTTCTTTTGGTGTGACATTCATCCACAATTTCCACTCACCGAAGAGCGTTCAGAGCCCAAGCGTGTATTGGCGGTGCTTCAACGCTGGGCTTGGGACGGTCCAAGGCTTGGGGTCGACCCGCAGGTGATGCATTCAAGGATGCTAGAGGGGACTGGAAAAAGGTGGATGGTTGGTGTCTGGGCTGTGAACCCTATCGACATGCCGATGTCCGTCGACATATCAGGCAAGGCGCTCATGGTCACGAGATATCTCATAGCGGAACAGGATGTCACATAGTATGCACGAATATTGATATAGCACCAAGTACAACATCAATGAATCTATCTACATCAGTGGCGCGGTACTCAATCAGGCAGGCCATACTACGACTTGATCAGCTCAAGACCGTACGTGTATACGCGCGCGCGCCTTTCATGCGAATTGCGACTTACCATCCCCGTATAGGCGTACGGGTTGCCGATGCCCATGGAGCTTATGCCGTACATGGGAGGATTCATAGCAGCACCCATTCCATAACCTTGTCATGGTCAGTATACTCCATAATGAGGGAGCGATGAACTCACCGAGAGCGTTCATCCCGAAAGGCGTACCCAACCCCCCCGCAAAGTAGGGACTCATCATCTATCATCAGGTCAGTATTCCCTAGACTGTATCAAAGTTACATATGGGCATGGAACCTACCGATCCATAGCCCCCATACCCGCCGTACATGCTCTGGAATGGTGCCCAGTAGCCTCCCCACATTGGTATAAGGTCAACACCAGGGTATTTCTTGTTGTTGTTGTTGTAACGTTGGTCAATGGAGGATGCGTATACAAGCTATGGAAGCATTAGAAGTGGCAAGGTGGATGGATAGGATGTAAAAGACGCTGGCAAGGGGATCATTATGTGTGGCGCGAAGGAAGAGTCGGGTGACACTCTTTTGTGCCCGGAACCAAGATGCCATGTTGATGTCATGACAAAGGAGCGGTCATTATGGTGGAAGAAAGAGACAGCTTGGAGCTATACCCGGGAGATGGCATATGGACGGTAATAGGGGTTGCGATGCATGTTCATGTTGAGTGATAAACAGTAGGGGTGCCGCCGGCGATTTTGCGGGGACACGTCATGAGTGGAGGCCCGCGATTGGGTCGGCAGTGGTCGTCGGCAGTTGACGGATGCTCCCGACTTTGCATCGTTTCCTTTCGTCGAGCAGACTTATTAGTACTTTTGGTAGACCCAGTTCCAAGTATCCAGTTCTCCAACTAATACCAGGTAACCCCAAGCAACCCCCCGCAACAGACGCCTTTCAAAACCCATCCGTAAGCCTCTTTTCCCCCTCCCCGCCCCACCGCTCAACCCCGCCCCAGGCCCCCAACATGTCTCAAGCCCCAGAAACCCTCGCCTCCCGCGTCCAAGAACTCAGCCTGGGCACCACCACCACCGTGCGCCACGGCTCTGGGTCTGCCGTCGTCGACAATGGCACCAACCTCGGCTCTGCTGCTGGCCGCAAGGCCTCTCACAGTGCTGCCAGTCTCGGCGGACACAGTCGACGAGGCAGTGGATTGGTCATCACCCCCAGCGGCGTGCAGACTGTCTACCACCACAGGACCAATGTGAGCTGCTGGCGGGTGTCATGGAATAACACGCGCTGACGTTCTGTTCAGGATGACATCGAGTTTCCTCACGCCGAGAAGAGTAAGTGCAGAGCAGCAGACTGATCGACAAAGGAATCACACGCCTGACATGTGTTTTGCAGAGACCATGGCCGACCTCTTGCGCAAGTATGAGAGTCTTTTCACCCGTATGTACCGGTCTTGCAGACAAGCCGCGGACGCTGATACGCACCAGTCACTCCCCAGAGGATGAGGATGATTGTCCAAGCCATCGAAGACACTCTCGATAACGGTCTTCAGAAGAACAACCAGGTCGTCGTGAGTGCTGCTATACTATTCCATTGACTTTAGCTCACGCCCATGTTTGTAGCCTATGAGTACGTTTTTCAAGTCGCTGCAGTGAACGTGACTGACCGGACTTTTATACAGTCCCCACCTACGTTTTCGGCGTGTGTATTCTGTTTTCATCCCTTCCGCCCCGTTACTGACAAGCTGAAAGTGGCCCACCGGCGAAGAGGCCGGCGACTATCTCGCCCTCGACCTCGGTGGCACCAACCTCCGAGTTTGTCTCGTCACCCTCCAAGGCCATGGAAAGTTTGAAGTTACGCAGACCAAGTACCGACTGACTGAGGAGCAAAAGCAAGGGGAGGGACAGGATTTGTGAGCCGCTGTCCGCAAAGAGGGAAGAGCGTAGTGCTAACGTGAAGCCAGGCTGGACTTCTGTGCCCAATGCCTGAACAGTTTCATCCGAGACACCCTTGGCCGTACCGAAGAGGACGGTCTTCTGCCCCTCGGCTTCACTGTACGTCTTTTGCTAGCGTCTTTACCCCTGGCTCAAAAACTTTTGTAACAGTTCTCCTACCCCTGTAGCCAGGATCGAATCGACCACGGAGGTGAGCACTGTTCTCGTATCAGGAGTGCAAGCACTGACATGCCCCAGAATTGATCCGCTGGACCAAGGGTTTCGGAGCCCCCAACATCGAGGGCCACGATGTCGCCGCGATGTTCCAGGACTCTCTCAAACGTCTCAACGTCCCCGCCGAACTCACCGCCCTTATCAACGACACCACTGGTACCCTCATCGCCTCCAACTATGTTGACCCCCACACCAAGATTGCCGTCATCTTCGGTACTGGGTGTAACGCGGCATACATGGAGACGGCGGAGTGTATTCCCAAGATTGACTATGTGGGCTTGCCCAAGGGGCAGGGCATGGCTATCAACTGTGAATGGGGAGCATTCGACTCTTTCGACCACCAACATCTCCCCCGTACCAAGTACGACATCATCATCGACGAGTCTTCCAACAAGCCCGGAGAGCAGTCCTTTGAAAAGATGATTGCCGGTCTCTACCTCGGAGAGATCTTCCGTTTGGTCTTGTGCGAGCTTATCGATGCCGGTGACCTCTTCCTGGGTCAGAACACTTACAAAATCGAAAAGGCCTATGCCTTTGACACCGCCTTCTTATCTCTCATGGAAGCGTAAGTATCACATTCTCGTCAAGCACACGCTGACATCCGAGTAGCGACCCCACGGACGAACTTCTCACCGTCGTCGGTGTCTTTACCCACTTCTTTGGCCTTGATACCACCATGGAGGAACGTACCTTCTTCAAGCAGCTTGCTGTCCTCATCGGTACCCGTGCCGCCCGTCTCTCGGCGTGTGGTATCGCGGCGATTGTCAGCAAGAAGGGCTACTTGGAGGGGGGATGTGCGGTCGGTGCCGATGGTAGTCTGTACAACGTGAGTTTGTCCCAAGCGCCGTGTCTTTCGGTTGTTGATGTGGTCGCAGAAATACCCCAACTTTGCCGACAGGGTCCACCAAGCGCTCGTGGACGTCTTTGGCGAGAAGGGCAGAAAGATTGTTACCCACCACGCTGAGGATGGTTCCGGTGTGGGCAGTGCCATCATTGCTGGCAAGTTCATTCCTTGCACTGTAGACTTTACTGACCATCCAACAGCCATGACCAAAGTCCGAAAGGAGGCTGGCGTATTCGTCCAATACTGATTCAAACTACACTGTGGCATAACTAGACTGATTGCAAAATAGAACAAGAAACAAATGAACGAAGGATCTTCTTTTGGGGCATGATTTTATGTACGGAATGTTAAGGATACACATGAATGATATGAAGAAGTCAAGTCTCTATTTCATTAGGCAATTATCTCACGGATGATCAGCAAGGTTCGACTTTGAATAGACATCACATTGTTGATATGCAGATGATTTTAGTTGGAGAAGTACATCTGTAGAATCCTTGAGAAAGTACACAGCAATAATAGTAGTTTCCGCCTTCGCTTCATCTTCCATCACATGTTTCCTTAACATGACACGCTAAGGAACATTATCCAATCAATTATTCCCTTGATTTCCGTGCGACATGCCGCCCGTGGTACCAAGGATCCCTATATGGACTGTGAGTAACCTAGCCAAACACGACAAACGGTGACATACCATCAATGAGAGCGTTCCAATATTCGTCGCTGTTTTCAGCACCCGGCTCGGTACTGCGTCGCCCACTCGGCTGACCCGAGCCTCCCTCCACTGCCAAGAGACCAAATTGGTTGGGGTAAGAGTACTCGCCAGACGTGTGGCCCATGAAGTTGCCGCCACCCTCTTCCATGAAGCTAGAAGATGGACCGCCGCCGTACGCTGACAAGGCAGGGTTCGGCGTCAAGCCTGGCCCATTGGGCAGGCCGAGGGGTGTCATGCCGCCCGCCATGGCTGGCATAGGCAAGTAGCCCATCCCGGAATTGTCGAGCGTCGGAATGGGGCCGCCATTGAACGATGAGCCGCCGACTGCCATAGAGGTGTTGGCGTTGATCCAATGGTCGAGTCTGATTTTAGTTAGCACCAGGCAACAACATTGACCGAATGCACTGACAGTTTTTGTGAATGATCGTCCTCGTGACTTCCGGTGGAGGCGGGGCTTTGGTTGATACCCCCGTGGTGGACAGGCGCAAACGCAACATTTGGTGTCTGCCCCCAGTGTCGCGGAGGGTACATCATCTTGTTGTGACCGATACCAGGTCCACCCGGCGTGGGAGCATCTTCTGGCTGGACACCCTTGGGGTAAGCATTAGAATGGGTAGAAGAGTCATTGCTCTGACGGAGCGCGAGCAGAAGAGCAGCGCTGTCTTTGTCGTGCGTCGCCGGTTCACCGGGTCCAAACGAATCTTCAAAAATCTTGGCAGCCCGCCGCGACAGAGTTTGGATCTGGCATAGTGTCAGATGTGTCCAATGCCAAGCATGCTGGTACTCACAATCTGCACCTCCTTTCTCGTGGTCGCATCCTTGCTGGCGACCTCATGCCAGGGGTTCTCTTCCAAAAATGTAGTCAGGATTTTTCTCATCTGATCGGAATCGGGTCCTCGAGGGTCAATGATGGCGCTGATACCGGCAATCATGGCACTGTTAAACATTCTAAAGTTGCCAGTAATGGCGAAAAGCTTGAAATCGGGGACTTCACGCTGGAAATCCTGACGTATCTGGAAATCAAGCTTGGCAGCTTCGAAGCATGCCGTTCTAGAAGCGGCATATCGGTTACTTGAGAGCTTTCGCAAGAGCCAAGGTCGCTGAAAACGGGTCAGGACAATCAAATTGCAGAAAACCAGACTCACGTGAAGGATGATGGTGGTGACGAGCACTTCTGTCAGAAGCATAAATCGATGTACCGGGAGCCAGAAATGGACTAGAGACAGTCAGTACCGCAAATAACTATAAAATGTCTGAAACCGACCTTTATCCAACGCCTTGTCGGGATCATGCATCCTGAAATGCGGCGGCAGCTGCTCCACAAAAAGATCAAGCTCTTGCTGCAGCTTTTCCACGTCCGAGTATTGCGCCGGTTCATTTAGTTTCTGGAAATGGTGTACTATTCTGCCCACGATGACAGCGAGCTTGCGGCGGAGGATGAGGAAGAGGGCGGGGGTGGGCTCGTGGAAGGGTTTGGCAGGTGGTAGACCGAGGGCGGGGTTGTATTCGGTGAGATCGATGTTGGATGGGGCCCTACAATCCGCGTCAGGGACGGTGTTGTGGATACAGGCGTAACTCACTGGGTGTCGGTATAACTGTCAGATATACTGGGTGGTCTTCCTAGAACCAAACTGTACTGCTTGTCCGCGTGATACAAATAGCTCCAAAGTCGTCTGCGGTACTCTGTTTGGTAAGGGCTGAGAGACGTCAGTAACTGTGCCAGTCTCAATGGGCAATGGCTTACTCAAGACCAAGCTTTGAACCATCGCGATGGAGACCTATTGCTTGAGCGGTACGTAGTGAGGCCCCTAGCTGTGACCAGCACTCGGTGAGACGTCTGTCGTGGATGAGTACGAGGTACATGGCACTCTGCTTGGATGTAAGCTGTTTCCCTGGCAATCTTATCTGGACTCACCAAAAGCCGGCTGACGACGAGTTCTAGACTTTCAGATTGAACAGCGGTCGCGATGAGGATACTTCGACGCGCTGATGATCCTGGTCAGACCGAGACACATCACATACTCGGTGGACTCACAACTCCAGTACATCCGCAAACTTGAAAGGCGTCTGGTCTGTTCATCCCCTGCCCATTTATCCGGCGCCTGTCTGACCGCCAAGGCCAGCACGATAAACACCAACGGCAGAGCCCTCACATTCGACGGGTCCAAAGCCGTCGCCTTGTTGTACAAATCATCATATGACGCTCTGAAGAGACGTTCGTCGATAGGGTACCGAATAAAATTGAGCTTTTCAAAGAACCAGTCGATTATCTTGTCTGCAAATGGCTTGGGAGGAAGTTCTTGGACAAGCTCTGCAATTTTATGAGGGCTGACACCGCAGTCGGTTATAAGACGCTGGAGGTTCTCGGCGGGCGTGCCATGGATGTCGAGCTTCATCTTGACTTTTTCGTCCGTATCCATCTATTGCTTATGTCAGCAGCTAGTATTTGAAGCATTTCCGTACGTTTTCTGGTAGACCGCTAGCAATTGGTCAGTACTCGTACTATGCGCGGAATTATTGAGCTCACCCATCAATCTCTCCAAGCCATCCTTTGCCGACTCGTGCCAGGCCATCATCATCCGAGCTCGCGCCGCGTTCGAGCGAATTAGGATCCTGGGCGTCAGGCTGGTACGCAGTCATAGGGCGTGATGGCCCCGGAACGCTGGCCTGTGGTGTCATAAGATTATGGGGAGATGCGGGTGTCGAAGGGGCTGATTGAAGATGCTTTTGGAATGGTGGTGCTAGAAATACTTGAGCTTCTTGTCACCAGGGTTGATAGAGGCGTACAAGTAATCCAGTCTCTCACTGCCTCATAGTGGGTTATCCCACTGGTATGTCGCACTACAACAGAAAGCACTGATTCTATGCTTTCTAGGCGGGCCAGCGTCTGGGAATCGGGGCCGGAGCTGTTGTTGCTGTTTGCTTGCGGATTGTAGGGGACCTGGCAAACATGAGTCGAAGATCCACGTGGGAAGGAAAACTCGACATACGCAAAGCTCAGGCACTTTCCTCGCTGTAAAGGGTGACAGGATTAGCGCATCGAAGGGAACGAGGCGGAGCAAGTTGGCTTACCGACACCTGTGAGTTGGGGTGGTCAGCTTTGATGGCTTTAATGGATGGACCAAGGCCAGAGTACGTACAGTGTTGACAGGGAAACTCTCGATTACACTACATAACGGCAGGAAAGGTGAGTTATTGTATCCCGTTACATTGGGAGTTCTGGGCATACCTTTTGCTTTCGTTTGGCACCTAGAATGGTATCAGCGTCTGCCCAAAGATATGTAGGTCAAAGAATCGCAAGAGAGGGAAGACAAAAATTGAAAACATGCAACAAAAAAAAAAATGGCACACTCACACTGGGCACAGCTCAGGCTGACTCTCTTCTTTTTCTGAGGCTGGGGCTGGGTGTGATCGATGTGGCTGGTGCTGTCTGTGCTGAATTTGCGTTCTGGATAGCCACTGGAGCTGGCGTGGGAGTCTGGGGGGAGGGGCCGCTTCATCGGGGTGCTGTGGTGGGAGAAGGGGAAGTTGGGTACGACGGGGGAGGGAGTAAGGTGGCTGGGGGTCCTGGGGGTGTTTGTGCTGAGGGGAGATGGTCTGTTGCTGAACGCTCCCTCCGAGGCCATCGCTTTTCTTCGTGGAAAAGAGGAAGTAGTTTTGCGTCTGCGCGCGAATCGAAGCCTCAGGCCTCAGGGGGGACTTTCAGGGTCTGTGTTATCAGATTGCACAAGAATTGGGCTCAGAAGAATTCCCAATTCTTGTTCGCAAACCGTTTGCTCTTTTTGATTGGCTGTTTCTTGATTTTGGGCGTTGGTTGCTCATTTTTCGGGTGGTACGGTGATGTCCGCAGGGCAAGGGGCTTAGTTGTGCCTAATTTTACTCTGTAAATACTGTTATACACCTAACACCTACTCTACCCCGCTTACGCGCTCGTCTCGGGTGATTCTTCTCAGGGATGCATGCCAGGGGTCTACGCCACATCCCTCCCAACTCATGCACACACCAGCCGTCGCCAGGCCATGCACCTGGCCCGCACCTGGCAAAACAACAATAGGGGCGACGACGCGGTCTCGGTTAACGCATCGGCCAATCTCCGCGTATTCCCGATGCACCACGGCCTGCCACCTGGGCCACCTGCAGGCTGCAATTCTCAGTCAAGTGGCCGGCGGCGCCTGGCATACGTATGTATTATGTACCCTGCAGCCTGCATCCTTTTCGTATGCCTTGTCTTTGGCATTTGGCCCCGCTCTCCCTGTCCTTGGCATATCCAAAACAGGGACCCTTCGCTTCCATCGGCCGAATCACTAGTCTTTTCAGTCCCAAACTCTCGGTGATACATCGTGTATATGATCTTATCTGATTTCTCCCCATCTTTGCCAAGATCCAGGTGATATCTCGTATCAGATACGGATACGGGGCAATCCGCTGGCCGCTCGGGGTATCTCACGCTATCTTTAGCTTTCCGTACAGCACACACCGATGTTGGGTTCTTGCCGAGAATTGGTACTTGTTTGCTCGCCGGTGGTCCTGGATACCATGCATGGGCGGAAAATGGTAAACCCGCGGCCAGTCCATCAACTCCCAACTTTGTCTTGGGTGCTATCATGCGAATCTGCGATGTATGGGAGTCAGCCGGTCATCAAGGGTCCGCACTAGACACCACTCGGCAAGAGTCATCACTCGAGTGATGTCGTCAGGGCAATAAGCTGCCCCACTCATCAACTCCACACCTGCGACACGCCGCAAACTGCATGTACATGCCGATAAAATAATACATTAACCGCAGAAAAGAACCCCATTGAATCACGATAAACTCTACTCGTACTGTCTGGTATTTCAATCTACTCTAATCTCGTCTCAACGCATCGAGCCTTCGTTGCAAATCGGTCTCTTCGCTGCTGAGAGGCCCACCCGCACCAGGCGTACTGGCACTTGCACCTCCCGCCGGTGGGCCGCTAGGCGCCACCAGCGGCAGGCCTTCGGCGACAGCAACACGGGAAGACTGGAGAGGTTCAGATGCCAAAGGATTGGCTGTAGGGGCTGCGGCGAGCTATTGACGGTCATTAGAGGCGAGGGCGCCAGTTCACTTGAACGCAAAGACTCACCGAATCATTCATGTTCATTCCAATCTCATCCAGAACCTCCTTCAGGATCTTGTCGCCTTCCGCCTCTTCCCCCTCCCCTTCGTCCTCGTCCTCCATAGCATCATCAACCGCATCAGACATCATTTCTTCCTTCATATCCATCGTCGACGATTCGCGTTCGAAATCGTTCATAATCTTTTGGATCTGTGCCCGGCTTCAGTGAGACTGTGTTCAAAGCCAAGACACATGACTTGCCTGGGGAAGGTTGAGACTTCTATTCATTTGTCCCATCGCCTGAGGAACCACATCAGCTTCACGTACAGCATCATGAAGGACGAAAGGCTGACTCTTGTTGCCCCCTTCATCGCCACCGCCATCGATTCATTACTCCTCAACGTCTGCATCCTGAGCGACACTGCCTGTAGCTGCACTCTCATCTGCGTAAACTTTTGAATATATCGTCGCGTTCTAACCAAATCCTTCGCCAAGATCTTGCACGCATTCTGCCCTTCCCGTGAGCTCCTACCCTCATCCGAGGCCCATCTAGACGTACCATATTGCCGGCCTTGGCGTTCCGCTTGATGTCTGCCATGGTCTTCTTCTCTTGTGCTTCAAGTTTGCCCTTTTCTCGGTCCAATTCTCGCTGGGCCTTTTGTAGGGACCGTTGGTGTTGGCGAAGACGTTCGGCAGGGGTCGTCGAGCGCCCAAAGAGAGTATCCTGTATGGAAGTCAGCCCTGACTCGGCGGCTATACCGGCACTGACCAAGATGTTCATGGCGGGGTCGGGGTGGTCTCTGGCAGTGCGCAGGGCGAGATGCAAAGCGAGTTTCCTATGTAGTTGCAACTACATCGCGATATCCTCGTTGGACTTGCGGTGGCGGGATCAAAGCAGCGGCCACCACCGCCAGCCACTTCTAACAGTTGTCCTTGTGTTGTCGTCCAGACGTCTCTCTCAGCTGCATCTCATGCAGGCCACCGCCAGACTTGCCTCCCTCCAGCACAGTAGACCATCGGCTCCCCATGCGGCTACAGCAACTCCTCTTCTCCGCATTCGCCCTGTCCGCCGGACTCGTCCGCTCAGTGTCCGCTTCTGCAAATGATGATGATGAATTCCAGCTGCGCCAGCTGACAGACGAAAACTTCAAATCGGAAACGTCCAACGGTGTATGGTCCGTATCGGCGATGTTTCCGCCTGCATATGGAAGTCTATCTGACCCTTTAACAGGCTTGTCGAGCACTTTTCCCCAAAGTGTCAGTCGACTATTGTGCAGATTCGAGAGGGTGTATTGATAATATGCAGGTGGTCATTGTCGAGCATTCGCTCCGACGTGGACACAGCTAGCCAAGGACTATCAGCACTTGGAACGCTTGACAGGTTTCCACATGACACAGGTGAACTGTCTCGCTCAAGGCGGTGAGTGACTTGACAGCTTTCTCGGAAACCTCGAGCTCATACAAGCTTCAGATCTGTGTAACGCTAATGGTATCAAATTCTGTAAGTATATTGGATTTTATACCTCCACAGCTTATGCTTACTCAAATGTAGACCCCCAAATCATACTGTTGGTCTTTCAGCGGACTTACAACCTCTGCTGACAGTGTTCCACAGGTATGTCGACGGCAAACCCTCCCCCCACTACTCTGGCGACCGTTCTTACGAGGACCTCTCCAAATACATTGACGAACACTCCAACAATTATTCGGAACAGCTCCTCCTACAATCTTCGACCGAACAAGGGACGTCGTTGGTGGGAAGAGCTAATGAGGAGGGTTTGGTGAAGGATGTGAACCCGGCAGAATTGGAGATGCTGAAGCAGGAGGGGGCGGTGTTGACAGAATACTTTGCACCTTGGTGTGGACAGTGGGTCATTTCATATCCAGGTGTTGCCCAAGCTGAGAGATATACAGCTGCAAGAAGCTGCGTCCTAGTAAGGCATCGCATTTGATTTTATTCACCCGGTACTGACTTTTGCCTGTGCAGTCTATGAACAGCTCGCAGCCACAATGAAAGGCAAGGTCAACATTGCCGCCGTGAATTGCGACGATCACCACAGCTTTTGTTCCAGCTCTGGCGTCAAAGGATATCCTACCATCCGCATGCTTCACCACGGCACTTCGACAGAATTCACCGGTGCTCGAACGTTGAGCGCTCTCCAGAAATTCGCAGAAATGGGACAAGAGGCGTAAGCATAGCATTTAGTATAGGGCATTCACTAAGCATTGGTATCTACAGCGCCAGCATCCAGAGCATCAAGGCCGGTGACTTTGACGATATTGTAAAGGCCAACGAAGCGTTCTTTTTGTTTTTGCAGTCGTATGATACCTCTAGCGAGGAAGTGGTACGTGTAGCATTCGGAGAATAGTCTCAGCCAGCAGACTCACCGTTCATCCTAGGATGCTGTCAAGAAGGCTCTTGAGCCCCTTCTTGGATCTGTACCCGCATACACATCCAGAGACCCGGCATTGTATAAACGCTTGCACATCGCCAACCCACCGCCTACCTCGACACTACTCGCCTTTTCTTCCTTCTCTCCCCGGCCGGTAGGCACCATTGCCCTTCCTGTTTCGCCCTCCGATCTCAGCCGTTTCATCACTCAGCACAAGTTTCCCACCCTCGTCCAACTAGACTCTTCCAACTTTCAGTCGCTCATGAGGAGCGATAGTCGTGCTGTGGTCGTGTTGGGCGCCGTACATAAAGGGGAGGCCGGGAAAAAAGAGTTGGACGAGTTTGCGGAGGTTGCGAGGGCTTGGAAAAGGGGTGGGAGAAAGTTTCAGCAGCCTGTATGGTTTGTCTGGGTGGACGCCGACAAGTGGTCGAGATGGTTGAAACAGTTCTACTCGTGAGTGACAATTGGAGTCGACCGGTCGCTCATTTCAGCATAGAATTAAAAAGGCAAACATCCCTGCAATTGTGGTTGTGGACACTCCTGTAAGTGAAACTGACCTTCCCCAGAAATGAGCTCTGATGAGTCAGCAGAATGAGCAATACTACGACACCACCATCGAAGGCAACGAAATCACCTTTGATGGTGCCAGTATCTTTTCCGTCCTTGAGGGTTTCTACCAACATTTCTTGCGCCCAAAGAGAATCGAATCCACTCTAGAATGGTCGTCCAGGAGCGCAGCTCAGACGTTGATTAGCCTCAGTGTAAGTGTCATTTGTTTGCTGGAGGCGCAATACATTGACCATGTTCAGGCCGCGAGCATTGAACATCCTATCTATGCTCTGGCACTCCTTGTGGCAGTTGTGGGTGCCTTTGTGTACTTTATGCAGAGGTGTATCGGGAGGGATCCAAGGGAAGGCAGTCCAATTAGCGGTACCAGATTGGACTGATCTGTCATGCCCTGTCTTGTTTGGAGATTGGTGATGATACCCTGCATATATGTTCTCTATACACTTTCATGTACTTGCATAGTTTGATCTGTAGATGTGGCAAATACAGCTCTACAGAGGAGACAACGGGAACGTACACGAAAAAAAAAAAACATTTCCAAGATATTAGGCGCGTTCGCGCGCTTGTCCATAGTTAGTGCAGCAGTGAGTGTGTTTGCGCATTTGGAACATTCCCGCAAAACTCGACCCAACAATGGCCACAACATCCGCGCTCTCCATCGCCCTACTGTTCTCCCTCCCCCCGGACTCTCCTCAAATCTTTTCTTTCATATCCTCCCTCTCCACTGCCGCTGGTGTCTCTGCCCCCAAGCCGGACATCAAATCTTACCCGGATGCGATCTATCACAACTACTACCCGCTGGGCGTCAGTCTTTGCTTCTTGCCCTCTACAGGGCTGGACAGTGTCGATCTCTACAGCCGTGACCCGCACCCCAACACATCATCACGGGTGAGAGGGCCGGTGTACGATAATGCACCCGAGGTGGTGTTTCGTTTTTCCAGTACTACCTTGCCTCTGCCTCCACGCGATCCCAAGTCAGAGGAGGCACCTCAGACGATCGAGCGGCCAATCGAGTGGAAGTTGACGGCGAGTACTACTGGGCGAGGTCTAGTGAGCTGCTTGGGAGAACCTGCCAAGAAGGGTTCGGGAGGGTGGACGGGCGTGTGGTTGGAATGGACCAAAGTGGACCTTTCGGCGGGCGAGGAGGGAGCAGGTGGAGAGGAATATATTGGAGTTATGGTGGAGCTGAGAGATCCCGGAGCAAGGGAAATGGACGAGGCTATGATGAAGAAGGGTATGGGAGGCGTCTGGGATAGAGCCTCCAAGTGGGAGTGGAAGACAGTCAAGTTATACAAGGTATGAGGCGCATCATCAAGGACAATCGGGACGTTTCGTTATGATATGCATTAATCTACATTTCACCCTTCTCTCTAGGCGGGAATGGTGGTGATGACACCCTTCAATTCTTCCTCTGACAAAATCTTGAATCCTTGCTCCCGAGTCACCTGAGCAAGCTGGACATTGTTCTCGTCCAGCTTCTCCTCCATCACCTGCTTGAGGACCTTCAACGCCAAGGTTTGAGCCTCGGCCAGGGTCATTTGCTTGTGGTAAGCGTCTTGAAGCCCTTGCTGGGCAGCTTCAGAACCGGATCCGATGGCCTTGGCCTCGTAACGGACAAAGGTACCAGAGGGGTCGGTATGGAAGCTATCCGCTAGTCAGCCAAAGTGCATGGACCAGCAGCAAATACTGACAGTTGAGGACCCTTCTCGTCTATACCAGCAATCAGAAGCGCAACACCAAACGGTCGGGACTTTGCGGTGGTCAGCCAAGCTCATACCCCATAGCAGTACTGACCATCAACGCGTCATCGTCTTCCACACTCTCTCCGAATCTCAACGCCAAGTCACAGACGGCCTGCGTACAGCTTTCGACACCGATCGGCTCATCGTAGGTGAAGGCGTGCATTTGACTTGTCACCCGGGCGTGTTCTACCATGGTTCGGGCGTCGGCAGTAAGACCTGACATGGCACAGCCGACATGAGAGTCAATCTCCATGATCTTCTCGATGGAGGATGATTCGAGGAGGGGAGAAGGGACACGCTTCTCTACTGCAAGCACGGTTCCCTCCGGCGTTGTGATGCCGACCGTTGTGGAACCAAGCTATGAGCAAGTCAGCAGGGTTGCCGTACACGACGAGAACGACAGACCTTGATGGCCTCCATAGCATATTCGACTGCGATGTCAGAGTCAGTCACCGAGCCACGCAGAAATTGAGCAGGGATAGGAGCGCACCTTGGAACAATCGACCCTAGAGAGCGAGTCAGCGCGAGAAAGGAGATGTGTTGGAGACGTACCTCTGGGGAGAAGGTGTTGACGCCTCGGTCGTATTCGGATCTGCGGGGGTGAGCGATGGCGGGGCGGCGGGGGGTGCGCGTACCTGGTCATGAACATGGCGGGCAGGCTGGGAGGAGATACGGACAGCAACACTTACCTCCAAGAAGCAGCAGTGACAGAAGACGCTGTCGCGTTGACAGTCGGCTTACGTAACCCGACCGGTGGAGGCACTGCCATCATCATATAAAGTATTGTTGTTGTCCCGCGTTGATTCCTTTTGTCTCCTCCACGGACGCTCACACCATACACTTCCCTGGGGGTAGGATCGCATGTCCTATCTGCGGATACATCCTCCCCCCTCCTGACCACTCTGGCCCAGTCCGTCCTCAGCCTTTGCCTGCCCTACCTATCCCGCGATCAACGAAGTGTAGTCGGTTCATTCCTGCCGCTTCCCAGCCGTACAAGAGGGTAGCTCCATGACTTCCGCCGTAAGCGTTGGTATATGCATGCATGACTCAATTACCGCTGATTATGTCCAGATCGAGCCCGACACTCGTGGGCGAAAGCGAAGGGCCGAGACCGACGACGGCAACGACTCGGATGACTCTGTCATCAATCTTCACAAAAGTCCCCGATACAAACAAGGCAACGCCAAAGCACCCATCGACATTGACTCTGATGACAGTGATGACAGTATCATCTTTGTACCCCACCCAGTCAAGCCCACAGCAGCCGGCCGCGCGAGAGGGTCGCCGCTTACGAACAATTCGAGCAGTCACGTTGGCCGAGTCATTCCACACTCTTCTCCGCCGGCGCCCCTTCCTGGCCCTTCCTGCTCTGTAGCTCCCCTCTTTGCTGTTCGCCCTCTCTACGATGCGCCTCAACCGGAGGTTTCAGACACGCCCGTCAAAAAACGCAAGGCCGATGCTGTTGAATTTCCCGCTCCCGACGAGCCGGCCGTTGCTGGTCCCTCAAACCATGCAGCACCTGTAGCTGTGCATGCTCAGGGTCCTCTTTTCTTTCCGCCATCCAGTCCGCACGAACGGCTTCCAGATGAGGAAGCTGCTCAGCTACCCCCACTGCCCCCTTCAGCATCCCCATCACCCCCTCCTCCGGCTGATGCCGTGCCTCCGCCTCACACGCCGTCTTCGAAACCTGCATTATCAAACAATGTTCCTCCTAACCCCCTTGACCCAAATAGTATCCTGATTCAAGTCCTCGAAATCCTCCCCGATATCGATCCTGAATACGCCCTCAAGGATATAAATACAATTCTTGCCACTGGCCGTGCAAACGGACTGGCAGAAATCGTGGTCGACAGAGCTTTGGAAGTGCAGGGTGGATACCCCACGGTCAAGATTGATAAAGGCAAAGGCCGGTCAGCACCTGAAGAAAGCATTGAACAGTACAAGCTCCCGGACCATCGTGCCGAGGAAAGAAAGGGGTATCAATATCAAGATCGATGCTTGCGCGAGCTCGAAATCAAGTTCTCTTCAATACCAGTCGGGTAGTAAGTCAATTTTCGCTTTTACCAAACAGTGCTGACAGTCTGCCCTTCAAAGTATCCGGCAACGTTTTCAAGAGGCAAACTCACTTCTTGTCCCGGCATACTACGTCTTGCTTGAGAAAAGTAGACTGCGACCATTACCATACAACGCCCTCTTGCGGCCTCGTAAAGCCAAGGCTGCAGTTAGATACTCGGTTGCAGATGACGACGTCGGGAAGGTGGCGTTTGAAAGAGAGCTCGCCTGGCTGGAAGCTACGATAGGTGCGTAAAGGTTCTCCTACCGATCGGTGTCTGATCTCTGTGATAGGCGAAACACAGCGAGAACAAGACGAACAAGATGCGAGACAAAGACTGATCGATGCGGCGGTTGCCAAGGGAGAAGGGATAGAATGCGGCTGCTGTTTTGGAGACGACATACCAGTACGTCCGCCCGAGCTCCTCTTTAATGCAAAGCTAATTTGTCCAGGAAAATATGTTTCAGTGCGAAAATGGCCATCTTTTCTGCAAAGACTGTACTATCCGAAATGCAGAAACGAAGCTGGGCGATCAATCGACTGTAAGTGAAAGATATCGGCAATCTTTGCCTCGAAACTCAACCAACTTTGCAGACAATCACTTGCATGGACACCTCCGATTGCAAATGTCCATTCCCCGAGAGCGAACTCAGACGGTCACTTTCCAACAAGTCTCTCAGCTTGTATCATCGTTTGAAACAGTCCAAGGAATTGGAGCTTGCGGCCATTGAAGGTCTCGAAAGCTGTCCCAGTTGCGACTTTTCCGCCATCATTGACAACCCTCACGAAAAGCTGTTCAGGTGCATTAACGAAAGCTGTGGACATGTGACTTGCAGGAAATGCCGACGACCGGAGCATATACCCAAAACATGTGAAGGTGAGTGGCCCGTCGGTGATCACGGATGATAGCTGACTATACGATGCACAGAAATGGACGCCGAGAGCAAGTTGGACCGAAGACATGCCGTGGAGGATGCCATGTCTGCAGCTCTCATCAGAAATTGTCCCAGGTGTACGAAGCCGTTTATCAAAGAATCTGGGTACGATATCTCTCGAGAATTGCCATCTGCTGTGACTGACTTTTATCCTGCAGTTGTAATAAGATCGTGTGCTCCAACTGCAGAACAATCTCATGCTACATATGTCGGCAAATCATCAAAGGGTGTGCTTTCCGATGTGCCGCCGTGTTGAGGGTAGTGCCTGACATCTCTTTCACAGTTATGAGCATTTTGATCGAAACCCGGCCAACTATGCCGCGCCAATCGCAACCGCCAGATGCGCACTGTGGGATAAGGACGCAAATCCGGATGAGGCTGCGGTGAGCTCATCCTCCGGCTGGTGGTCACGCTAGCTGATGAACATCACAGATTCTAGCTGCTCGAGACGTCGCCACTGCGGAAGCCCGTGCTGCGGCAGCTCGTGACGGTATCAACCTAGAAGACAAAGACCTCCATGTTGCCCTTCCCGATAGGGCTCCTCAAGCGGGCCATCCGTATGCCCATCCCGCTGGAGCGCCTGTACGCCTTCCTGGACGTATGTAACATTTTATCTGCTCGGCTCAGAAAACATCAACCGATCAAAGTCTAACATTTACCATCCACCTTTGTCAGAGCCCATGCCCCGTCCGCTTCCTCTACCTAATATGCAAGCGCCCCATGGACCACTCAATCTTCAAGGACCAGGTCACGATCAAGCTCTCCTAGCTCGCGATGAGCATCTTCGCAACCAAGCCGCTTTTCAATTATTACGCCAGCAACGCTTCGGACTTCCCGCGCCCTTTCGCCCAGAACTCCCTATCCCTCAAAATGTCATGCCTGCCATGCTGCCTCGTCCGCCTATGATGGCACCGCAGCCTCATCCCGTAGCTGCCCATCTGGATCCCATGGTTCAAGAAATGAACAGGCTACGCGCTTTGCGCCAGGCCCGCGGTGACGGAGGTAAGCCGGGTCATGCCTTGCTGTCATTCTGTATTGATATTTGACTCGAGCCCTGCCATGGTGGGGTATGGCTCCTCTCGCCCCCGCCCCCCCACAGCATGTCCGACCACAACCGAGAAGCCGGTATTGATTGATTTTATGATAATGTGTATTTGACAGACTGGCCGTTATCCTTCCCGGCTTTTGACAGTGTCTATACCACGAGTAATTGTAAAACCACATACATGCTGTGTGATTGTACAGTGACATGTCCAAATTGTCGACAATTGATACTGTAAGAAGTCACAGACGTTGTTTATTCTTTCCGTGCTCACCTTGTGATGCCCCCCCCCCAAGATGTTTCCGCACTCGTTCCTGCCGGCTTTCCGTCACACTTGGATCGATTAGGCCCAAAACGTTCTATCGTATCTGATGGATCAACGGATACGATGATCCATAAGAGCCATATATACTGCAGACAGCCGATTCATTTCGAGTTCTGCATATCATCTCACTGTCATCCTTCAGGCCGCTCTTTCGTATATTTCACCGCCACTTGTCAGCTTTAAGTACCCAAAATACCAATAACTGATACGCCAAACATCAAGCATGCCAATTTGGATGCCCTATCCCGATTCCGCACTTGACCTGGATGACTTTGCAGACGAGAACATGTATAGGGCACAGCTCACCCCCTATGCCACTAAGGAGAGACGAAGCTTTTGGTTGGTCCCCGAGGAGTATGTTTCTCTCTCTACTATGACTTCCTGCTATCAAGAATTCTGGTAAGGCAAACTTGGCAGGGTGCTGATCTTATCACCATAGTGAGCCTCTCCGCAACCGAGCTATAGACCATCCCCGAAATATCCTGGACTACTATATCCAGTGCTGGATCATCTATTTCCTCGGGATTCCATTTGACATGGACTGCGACCTGGACGAGTATTAGTGATCTGCATCATGAGCAAGACTCAAATCGTACCGACAGTTCACCTGATGAATCATGATGGTGGCGGCGGAAGGATGGCTCCGCCTCCAGTTCCTGGCGGTGTCCCCCGCTTTGAGATTTTCAGTTGCGGTTATGCATTTCGTTGAACTTTGCTTCATATCAGTACCTCGTGTCTGTGATATCTGTCTCCCACATTTCTGCAACTCGCCACCATGTCCGCACGCCCGCTCAAGTCCGCTCTGAAGAAACCCACAAAATCCTTCGAAACCCCCGCTGCCGGCCCCTCCAAGCCGTCCTTCTCTGCCAACAAGCCCAGTCAAGGCAAATCCAAAGTCAAGGCGACTGTCTCTATCGCCAAGAAGCCCGAGAAGCTCCGTGGTCCCGACCTTGCCAGCGACAGTGAAAGCAATGCCAGTGGATTCGAGGACGAAAGCGGGGACGAGGGGGAGGTGGTTGACGAAGACGAGGAAATGAACACCGATGAGGAGATTGAAAAGTCCAAGGAGCCTAAGAAGGCAAAGAAGGGCCAGAGTAAGCTACCAATGCCCCTCGTTTACCTTTGACTGACAGTAATCGCGCAGAGAGAAAAAGAGCTCCCACGACAGCTGCCGATTTCGGTGCTACTCTTACTTCGCTGCTTGCCGACCCTCTCACGCACCCTTCTAAAAAGGCCAAACCAGCCAAATCGGCTGTCGACCCCAAAAAGAAGTCGACAACAAATCCCATTCTTGCTCTGTCCGCGCACAAGCCTCCCACAAAGGCTTCGGTATCATTAGAAGCAAAGGCCAAGAAGCAGATCAGAGTCGACAAGGAGGAAAAGGAAGATCGAGCGAGGGTCAGGAATGTCGTGGAAGGATGGAGTGGGGATGGTGTCATTGGTGGGCAAGAGTTTGAGAAGAATCTGAGAAAGACAGCGCAGAAGGGTGGTGCGTAATGCCCCTACATTGGAGTCTGATAGACAGCTGACCAATGTTCGTAGTGGTCAAGCTTTTCAATGCCATCCTTCTTGCATCCAAGAATGCTGAAGCCTCCGACATGTCTTTGGCAGACAGAGCCAAGGTCAAGCCTGAGGCTGCCAAGAGAAAGGAGAAGGACAATATCCTGGGTCGAGGAGGCAGGGAGGATGTCTTGACCAAGGAGAGCTTCTTGGATATGGTCAGAAAGGGCAGTAGTAGATAATGGACGGTCCAGGCATTGTCAATGTATACATCACATGTAGATAGCCGGTTATGTTCTGCCTGTCCTAGGAAACCCCAATCTTGCCAACAATCCAGTCAACCAGCTTTGCAACCCCGGATCCCGTGTCCTCATTCATTACATTCCCGTTCTCTTGGTGGTCGGCATTACCTTGAGCACCGATGACAATTTCAATCTCGGCTTTGCGTCGCAGATGAAGCATGCGACAAAGTTCAGATCTGCTACTAGTTTAGCAAGACTACACAGCTGAAATAAGTATATGACTCACTTCCAAGCGGCGGGGAGACGTTCGTGATCTCGTAACATGCTGACTGCCTATATAGTAATTCAGCATGATTGACCAAGACTCTTACGAAGGCTCACTAAGCTGTCATCTGAAGTCTCAAAAGGCAGAAGATCGTCATAATTGATCCCGAGTCTGCAAGTAAACACATTAGCGCTTGCCTTAGGTACGTTGCTGACCCACTTTTCCCATTCTGAAGCCTTCAAACCGATCCACTCCAACCTCTCTCCCAATGCGAGCCCTTCGTGTTCAGTGGAGTGCAAATTGGCTTTCGACCCATACGTATAGTTGGAAAGGATGTTGAGGCCGTGGGGATCCGCGTCAAAGAGGCCGAAGATTCGTGCGCTGGATGGTGATAAGCTGTCGTTCTGGATGTCTTCGGAGGCGACTCACTCTGGCATAGTATCGACCAAGCGTCGAGCCAGCTGACGGGTAGACAGGTCCGGGAACCCTTTTCCCTAGCGTACAGTTAGACGGCACGTCAACGTCGAAAGTGTGCTGACTGTGATGATCACTCCCGGCCCAAGCCTCTCATCTTCAAGTAAGCCCGCGCTCAGCAGACTTTGGAAAACAGCCTACGTCCATATATCAGTATCCACCGGAACTTTCGAGACTGACCAACATCTTTTTCAACAACCAGAATCCATTCGAGCCCCAGCGGGGCACGCAGTTGCTGAATCTTCTCGACAGGCTCGATGAGGGTTGCCTGGCATGAATGTTTTAGTATCTTGCGGCTACTTTGTAGGTGGCATCGTACATGGCGTGGGGAGAGGTGCAGGTTCTGTCCTGATATGCAATGAATGACAAGGTCTGTTGCTGCGATAAGGCCTTTCGCCGAGGCACACTGCCAATAATGTTAGCTCCACGTACAATTCACACCAGATAGCTACCCCCGATGTAAAAGTCTGCCCGGTGTAGCTCTGCTGTAGCAACGATATCGTCGGCAATCTGTACTGGCTGTGAGTCTTGTTCAGAAAGAAGTGAGGCATGGCCGACCTTGTCTACTACGCTTTGCTTCCCAAAGAGTTTCTTGTCGCGGTAAAAGATGTCTCTGCAGCATCGTCAATAGAACAAGAGGGGGGGGGGGAGAAGCTTACCGCAATGTGATGACGGTCTTTTCCAGAAGGGCTTCCATCATCACAGATGCCACTCGCAGAATACATGCTGTCAAACACTATCGGCTTTAAAAGACTTTGTCCATGACTCGGGGACTCACTGAGTTTGTGTAGGGCACCCTGTCGATCGAGATCTAGCTCTGGGCTATCGGGATACGAGTATACTTGCAATGCGCTATGGTGGACAATGTCAGACAGTCAGTCATTGTGCTCGTTGACGTACCCAGTTTTTCGATTCTGCAAGCTCAGAGCCATGCTCAGTCCACCTCCGTCTCGAGTCTCGTCATCCGTTATGTTGCTCTCGGATGTCGTGTCTTCTCCATCATTGCTGAGATACCCTTGAGTGTCCTCTTCGATCACGGCGGCTAGCTGGTCGATGCAGGAAGTAGCCAGCGTTTGGAGAAAGTTCAATCCTCTGATGCTACCCACCAGTTGAGAACGCGCAATTTTCTCGTCGCGCCAAACTTACCCTCTGGATTCTCGTTCTTCCATAGAATCATAGAAATACACCATATCAATATCCATCTCTGTAGCCTTTTGCTGCTCCTCCGTATCTTCTTGCTCCTGCTCTTCTTCATCGATGTCCAGGTCGATGCCTGTCGCGACTGGTGTTTCCCGTTGAGGTATGACAGGATTGAGCAAGGCTTCTCTCCGGAGCATGAGCTGCTCAAAGATGGCTTCCTGAGATTCTCCTTCATTTTCGTCAATCTCAGCGTCGTCAGAGACAATGAGATGCCCGTCGCAGGGGGGCGAAGGTCCTTCCAAATGACGATATCCAGCGTCCCGGCCCATCACAGCTCCTAGCTGTCCATCACCCGATGATTCTATCCAGTCGCCCCGACTAGAACCGAGTCTTGGACGGTCGTCGTGTGAGGGAATGTTGCCGTCCGGAAGACGTGAGCGGTGAGCAGGCGGATCAGAGAGGGTAAGCGACGGGAGAGTACGAAGCGAGGGACCATCAGGGGATACGGGTGGGGCGTCTAGGGACATATGATATGCTTGGGGTGCAGGGTATGAATGGTTCAACGGAGAGAATAGTCGACGACAACCACCATCTACTGATCTGAGTCACTCTTCAAAAGTCGCGCTCAAGGCAAGCTCAAGGGCACGAGCACATTACGTAACTGTTGGCGGTGGTGTCCGCCTCCACTTCAGCGCTGCACAAAGATTTGATTTTTCTGCACCATCTCCAGCTGTGACCACAACAAATCCAACCCCCAAAATCCCTCTCCGCCATGGCCAAAACACAAAAAGCCTTCAAGAAGTTTGCTTCTTCCGGCAAACTCAAGGACTCTATCCGCCAGCGCCGCCAAACGCAGCAAATCAAGAAAAAGACTGAAGAACGTAAAGCGCACCGATCAAAGCAGCGTGGCGCCGCCCATTCCGAGGATGAAGGCGGAAGCGGGTCTGGGGATGAAAATGAAGACGATGATGATGATGAAGCTCGCAAGATTGGTCAGCCCGCTGCTGGCGGTAAAGCCGGCGGTGTGGCGAAGAGTGTCGAAGAGCTCTTCGGCGCTGGTGGGTTGGATGTTGATGCGGGGGAGGAGTCTGAACTGGAGGACCTTGGCTCCGAGGATGAAGAGGATGATGACGAAGGCGAGGATGAAGAGGATGAGCCGCTCGATGAGGCTGCGATGAAGAAGGCGATGAAGGATTTGGCCAAGAAGGATCCAGAGTTCTTCAAGTACTTGAAGGATAACGACGAAGATTTGCTCGAGTTTGGGGACAAGGGCAAGGAAAGGGAGGAGGACGAGGACGAAGACGAAGACGAAGAAATGGACAGTGATGAGGAGATGGACGAAGACGAGGATGAAGCGCCCGCGGAGAGGAAGAAGATTAGTGTCACGATGAAGATGCTTCGTCTGTGGCAGGAGGGTATGCTCAAGGTCAGTCGTCCATAATCCCGCAGACAACATATTGACTCGATCTAGCAACACTCTGTGAGGTCTTTACGCAAGACACTCATTGCCTTCCGCGCTGCCGCCCACATGAACGAAGAAGACGGCGACCAAGGCTCCGGTCTCGACACCAAATACACTGTCGACAGTGCCGCCGTCTTCAACAAACTTGTCCTCACCGCTCTCAAATTCACCCCCGTCGTCGTCTCTCACCACTTCCCCTACAAGACCCTCCCCACCGGGCGAGTCAAGCTCCAGCCGCCCAAAAAGGCCAACCAGGCGTTGAACCGTTTGGTCTTGTCCCACTTTACGACGCTCTTGCATTTGATCAAGTCTTTGCCTACCACTCCCTCAAGTGTGGCTACGAAAGAGCAGGAAGGCGCGAGCGGCTTGCTCTTGACAGCTGTGGGGGAGAGCACCAAGCTCATCCCTTGGATCTTGAGCGCAAGGAAGCATTTGAGGGCGTACTTGAAGGTCTTGCTGGACCTTTGGAGTTCAGCGGGCGACGACGTGAGAATAGCGTCTTTCTTGGCTGTGCGAAAGCTGTTTGTGCAGGGTGACGATGCCGTCAAGGATCTTTGCTTGAGAGTAAGTCTTGGTGTGCTGTCGTGAAATCAAGCTGACAGTGATGCAGAATATCTACCGCGCGCTCTTGCCTCCTTTGCGAAACGTCACCCCCCACACTCTCCCCGCTATCAACCTCATGAAGAACACTGCGTCCGAGCTCTACCAGCTCGCCCCCTCTCTCTCCTACCAACACGCTTTCGGTTTTATCCGTATGCTTGCTGTGCACTTGCGTAACGTTGTACGATCGAGTACGTCCGGTAAAGCGGGGGACAACCAGCAAGCTTTCAAGGCGGTGTACAACTGGCAGTATGTGCACTGTATCGACTTTTGGAGTCAGGCGCTCGCTGGGGCGGGCAGCTTGGAGAATCAAAAGGCGAATGCGGGGTTGGAAAGCCCCCTCAAGCCTTTGATCTATCCCCTTGTCCAAATCGCTCTTGGAGCCGTAAGGTAAGAACCCCAACTCTAAAGTCTGAATGTGTCTAACATTGAATAGACTCCTGCCGTCATCGCGATACTTTCCCCTTCGATTCCACGTCCTTCATTCTCTCCTCCGCCTCATCTCCCGCACGGGCACCTACATTCCCCTCGCGCCCTTCCTCCTCGAAATCCTCGACTCTACCGAGTTCCGCCGCTCCAACCCCAAGAAGGGCACCCTCAAACCGCTCGACTTTGAATATGTTATTCGCGCGCCGGCGGCTTATCCCAAGACGCGGGTCTTCCAGGAAGGCCTCGGTGAAGAGTTGGTGTTCTTGTTGGGCGAGTACCACGCTGCCATTTCGACGCAGATCGCTTTCCCCGAGATTGTGCTCCCAGTGATCATCACTATCAAAAAGCAGATCAAAAAGGGGTCCGCCGGTTCTCCCAAAGTCCAATCACAACTCAAAGTGCTCCTGGACAAGCTCGAAGCCACCCGCACATTCATCGAGACCAAGAGGCGCAACGTGTCGTTTGCGCCCAGAGATAGGGGCGAGATGGATAGGTTTTTGGAGGGACAAGGCCCGGAGGTGACACCTGTGGGCAACTGGATGAGGTTGCAGAGGAAGGTGAGGGATCAGAAGAGGCAGGAGGTTGAGAAGGCGCTCAGGGAGGAGCGGGAGGAGAGTGAAGAGTAAGGCTGTGGATAGGATGTGGCATTTTCTTTCAAGGTCTAGGTCCACCTGGTATGCATGTAAATGTACGGATTACCATGTTTCGAACGAGTGAAAGAAGATGAGCCCTTCGGATGACCGATATGAGCATGCCGTACCTTGGCACCGATCGACTTTGCTTCCTGCCATCCCCAAGTACGATAGAGAGTCCGTCCGCTGACCCTACAGACTCCTGCCTCGTGCTGATACCGTGTCGGCTGCAGGAGGCAAGATCCACTTGTCCCAGAAGAAGATCGAGCCCTGCCGAGGCCGAGAATCGTGAGAAGCATTGTCATGTCAGCATTGCAGGAGTCAGGGGTCGAAGTCGGCGTTCTCTGCGCCAAGTGCCAAGGCGCCATTGGCTGAGAGAATTTGAAAGGGCAGGGGTTGTGGGAGGACGGGAAGACGCCTTACGGAGGGCGGCAGCCAGACCAGCTGATCAGACGTGATGAAGTGAGCTGTTTCCGTGTTGTGCGGAGAGCAGCTGGGCCAAGATACCAGTACCGGCGGCTGTTAGTGGTCACCGAGGTCCGAGGAATCTCCGCAGATGATGTTTACTCGAGGCCACAGGCCGCAGGACATGGGTGCATCAACACAATGTTTGGTGAGGTGATGATTGAAGCGCGTCCGCGTTCCCTGTAAGCGCTAGAGGGGACGCACTAGAGTGCATTAGTGGATCCTGCATTTAAAAGAACAGCCGATGAGCCTGCCAGCTCGCTTCATAATGTTACATACAGAGACATTACAAGTACTATGGATAAGCCAGAAAAGAGTCGGAGTCGGACCGGGTGGTGGTTGCCGAACGTGCCTTGATAGTGCCTTGCGCAAGTCACATGCTGCCTGCTGCACGCCGAATTCTGTGTCCTTGTTTTTCTGGCGCACCTGCCCGATTCGGGACTGGCCACAGGGAAGAATTGTTGGAGGGCCAGCTGACAGAACATACAGCCCACGCGCGACAATTATGCTCCCGACTCCCACACGTAGCTCCAAATCCCAGCCTGCCTGCCGCCGGCCTCTCAGCTACTCGAGATATGGTCCTGTTCATGCCGCATCCTGGGTTTTCGCTGCAGGCTGGCGCACCCCGAGCCAACCTACTCTACCTGCACTCTCTGGACAGGCTGTCCTCCCTCTGCGGCCTCTGCGGGGGGATGTTTGAGCGAGTCATTTATCATCAGCCTGCGGATACGAGTGCCTGAGCCGAAAGTGACAACCCTCGGCCTCCCGGGTCTGCAAGCCACCGGCCGCACTCATCTCTTGCCCCATTCGGCCCCCAATCAGCATATATAAACACCCCTCTTCCCTCTCTTCCTCCCCATCCCTCAAGCATCTCACCATGGCCCTCCCCACCAAGGCCCTCGCCTTGCTTCTCCCCCTCCTGGCCAGCGCCGCCCCCGCCTACCGTCCTCTGGCCTACGAGCCCCTCCATGCTCGCGCAGAGAACAGCACTGGTGGTGACTTCACCATCGCCTCCCAGCAGCCCCAGTTTTCCGGCGACGTCACCGCTTGCCAAGGTATGTCTCCTTTTTCTCACATGTGGGTGTGACTCACACGCACCACAGGCTACTCTATCAAGGACGACTCTGTGTCCACCACCTCCACGGGCGGCATCACAGCCGAGCTCTCCCTCCTCGAGAGCTGTAACGCCTACGGTACCGATATCCCCTCTTTGAGCTTGTCGGTCGAGTACGAGACCGAGTCCCGCTTGCGGGTGCACATCTACGACACCCCGCTCAAGCAGTTCCAAGTCACCAACGAGATCCTTCCTTACCCCGAGAGGACTCTTGACGGTACCGACAGCGCCGACAAGTCGGACCTTGCGTTCGAGTATGACAACAGCCCGTTTGCTTTCTGGGTGACACGAAAGTCGGATGGAGTCGTGTTGTTTGACACTCGAGCCGCCAACATTCCGACCTACGACGAGCCCGCCGAGATCCTTGGCGAGGCCAACAACTATACTGTCCTTCCCGCACACCCATTGGTGTTTGAAGACCAGTACCTCCAGTTGTCGTCTGCGCTTCCCACCGGTGCTAATATCTATGGTCTGGGCGAGGCTATCGTAAGTCCCCGCGCATTCTGACCGGACGTGACTGACGAAGCGACTCAGTCTGGGAGTGGGTACAGGCGAAACGCTAGCAGCACTGTGCAGACAATGTGGGCCCGAGACATTGCCGACCCCGTCGACGAAAACCTCTGTACGCCCCCCTCCTCTATCACAATCGTCTCTTGACTGACACATGTTTCAAGACGGTACCCACCCAATGTATATGGAAGTCCGACACAACGAGACATCCAACACCCTCGCGTCGCACGGTGTCTTCCTCCGAAAGTGAGTATTGTTTCGTGTACAAGAGGGATGGTCGCTGAAGGAGGTAAAGCTCGCATGGTATGGATGTCGTACTCCGAGACGGTGCTATCCAATACAGGGTTATCGGCGGTACCCTTGACCTCTGTCAGTCTCTCCTTATTGCACACCAAGTACACTTGACTAACCAGAGAAACAGACTTCCTCTCCGGCTCTACCCCCAACCAAGTCTCTGAACAATACGCCAGCACCGTCGGTCTTCCTCAGCCCATGCCCGAATGGTCTTTCGGTTTCCATCTCTGTCGATGGGGTTATACCTCGGCGAACCAGACGCTGGAGGTGGTCAACAGGATGAGGGATGCCGGGATTCCTCTGGAGACGTGAGTGTATATTCCTCTTGTGAGGGGCGAGTGCTAATGAAAATCTAGTCAATGGAACGACATCGACTGTATGTTGGCTGTGATATCTGGATACTGAAGACTTTACTGACTGTTTGCTCTTTCCACTTCGCACTCACAGGGATGCGATGTAAGCCCTCCACCCTCACCTTCCCCAGACTCCTGCTGACACTCTGTGCAGCCTACCGAGAATTCCAGTTCGACCAAAACTTTGGTAAAGAAGACTATCAACGCCTCGTCAACACCCTCCACGAACGGGGCCAGCACTATGTTCCCATCATCGACGCCGCGATCGGATACCCCCAGAACGCCACTGACAGGTTTGATGTTTATGAGCGCGGTCATGAGCTTGGTGTTTGGATGAAGAACCCGGATGGGACCGAGTATGTTGGCGCGGTTTGGCCAACTTGGGCTGTCTTCCCTGGTATGTTCTCTTCTCCGTGGCCACGAAATCAGGGCTAATCAAGCGGATAGATTGGTTCCACCCGGATATGCAGCAAGTTTGGACCGACGCTTTCAGGAATCTCTCTGAAGTCGTCGACTTTGATGGCATCTGGCTTGACGTGAGCCCCTCAATACTTTGCTCCGGAAAGCATGTACTGACGAATATGACAGATGAACGAGCCTTCCTCCTTCATCGACGGCTCCGCGTCCAACTCTACCCAGTCCTTGGCTAACACCACCATCGTACCCCCCGACTACGGAAATGTCACCTTCCCTCCCGATTTCCCTGAGGGCTATTATTCCGACGTCTCTGGTATCAGCGGTAACATTACCGTCGACGGGAAGCTCACCTATGGACAAAACGGCACGGTCGTCAAGAACACAGCGCTGAGGAAGAGGGATGATGCCCCCAAGATTGCATTCGTCGATGACCCTCCCTACCCTATCCGAAACGGTGCCGGCCGATTGTCTGCCAAGACTGTCAGTCCCAACGCTACGCACTATGGTGGAGTGGAAGAGTACAGCGTCCATAACGTTTGGGGCTCGATGGAGGAGGTTGCGACCAGCAACATGTTTTTGGACCTCAAGCCCGGCAAGAGGCCCTTCATGGTTGGCCGATCGACTTTTGCTGGCAGTGTGAGTCCCACGACTTGTGTGTACGCTTGGACCTGGGCTGACTGTTGATAGGGACGAGTGTCTGCGCACTGGACGGGAGACAACTATGCCACTTGGGCTTATATGAAGCGCTCTATTGCTGGTATCCTTCAATTCAACCTCTTTGCCGTCGTAAGTCCCTCCTCCACCCCTTCAACTTACTTTTACTCACTCATGTCCAGCCCATGACCGGCGCAGACGTATGCGGCTTCAACGGCGAGACCAATGAAGAGCTCTGTAACCGCTGGATGCAGCTCGGCGCCTTCACTCCCTTCTACAGGAACCACAACATCAAGACTGCTATCAGCCAGGAGCCGTACATCTGGGATTCCGTTCGAGAGTCTTCCATCACGGCTATCAATGCTAGACTGCAGTTGTTGCCTTACTGGTCTTCTCTTTTCGCCAAGGCCGCTATCGCAGGAACGTGAGTACACTTCGTGTGCATTAGAAAGTGACGCTGATGGGATATAGTCCCCCCGTGACTGCACTCTTCCACGAATTTTCGAATGCCGAGTATCTCGACAACGACGTCCAATTCCTCATCGGTCCCCACATCATCGTCACCCCCGTCCTCCAGCCTAACGAGACTACCACCACAGGCCAATTCCCCACCGAAGACGGCACATTTTGGGTCGACTGGTGGACGCACGCCAAGCTCGATACTTCATCCGGCAACAACCAGACCCTCGACTTGCCCCTCGGCAAAATCGGTGTGCATGTTAGATCTGGTAGTGCGCTCTTGCTCTATGACCAGTCTGGCTACACTGTCAAGGAGACGAAGGAGGGTGGGTATGCGGTGTTGGTGGTGCTTGACGGCAAGGGCTATGCGGAGGGTGTGCACAAGGTTGATGACGGTGAAAGCCTTCCTGGTATGTTCCATCTTTATCATTGTGGAAAGACATGCTGAACGCGTCCGACAGTCACCGAACAGACTTGCCTCACATTCACGTCTACCGACTCTACCAAACTCACTTCCAAGCCCGACGGCAACTTTACCATCGACGGCAAGCTCAAGTCCATTACCATCGTCGGTGTCTGGAACAAGCCTGAGAAGGTGTCGCTCAACGGCAACAGTATCGACGAGAGCCAGGTGGCGTATGATGAGTCTATTGGGGAGCTCAAGGTCACTGGAGTTGATGGAGACCTCAACGCCGAGTGGACTTTGGAGTGGTAAAGCAAGAGCATTTCTAAGGACAGAAGGCAAAGGACTGAAAAAGGCAATTGTATCAATGGACATATATAATATCCCTCTAGGATTCCGGGGACGAAGGGACCTTTTCTTCTATAGTACAGACAGTAGTAAAGACTAAGTGATGCAGCAGTTAAACTCGAGAACTCGGCTCTTCTTTTTCCCCGCCTAAACCATTAAAGAGCCGTCGAGCTTTTTACGTTGTTCTTTTCGGTGTTGGGCACGGACAGATGACTCAAAAATTGTAACCTCATGCGCGACATTCTGGCTCCCGACGTCCTCTGCAAGCGACGTTAAAGTGAGTTCAGAAGCAGAAGAGGGTGATGATGGATGACAGATCTCTGATCGTCAATCGACTGGTACGTGCTCATGCCAGCATTCGGGTTGTCCCTCTCCTGATGTACTGAGCAGTCTGAACAACGCACCATTCGTGCTGGTTCCTTCCTACATGACAGTGGCTATGTCTTCTCTAGAGCCTAAGAAGGAAGGAGACGGACTCTCAGTAAACCCTTTGGTGGCGATCAACTACATCTTCTATCTTGGCTTCCCTCCCCAGTAGTATGTTGGATGCCACAAGAGTCCGTTACTATCTCACCAGTCACCAGCTGATATAGACGCAGCATTGCCGACGCCGTCGAGGAGAACCTCTGTGAGTTCATCATCATCTCAGGCGCATTCTGGACCGACCTTTCTGTCACGGCCTAGCTGGGACAGGGAATTACTACGTGTGACACTTTCCCGCAGAGGACGTACTACTCATCTCATGTATATGGAAGTCCGTCACAACCAGATCTCCAACAGCTTGGCGTCCCATGGTGCCTTCATCCGAAAGTGAGCTGCTACTTTTACATCCAGAGTATCACTAAGCTCGTGTGGCATGGACGTCGTACTCCGAGATGGGGCTGTCCAGTCCAGGGCTATCGGCGGTACCCTTGACGTCTGTCGGTACTTTCTACTTATCCCAGTGTCACACGTATTAGGACCCCCAGCGGGCGTGACCATAAGAAATCTGCTGACTATCGAGTGATTATAGACTTCCTTTCCGGACCTACCCCCAACGAGATGACAGAGCAATACTCAGCCACCGTCGGTCTTCCTCAGCCAATGCCGGAGTGGTCTTTCAGGTTCCACCTCTGTCGATGGGGCTACACCTCTGCGAACGAGACGCTATCAGTGATCAATCGAATGAGGGACGCGGGTATCCCTCTCAAGACGTGAGTCACTTCTGGGAGATGATAACAGTGCTGCTGACGAGAACACAGACAAGTCCTTGGTGGGAGGGATGTGGTCTTTTCCAGTACAGATTGTGCGTGTATGCAATAACCATATTCTGATATCTCGGACATACTCTCGGTCTATAGTCAAACTTCAAGCACAGCTTTGATCAGGCTCAGATGCAGCCTCTTCATTCTCTATCGTCTCGTTCGCTCAACATTACCCTGTGCGCTTACGTAACAGCTATATACCTGCCCCGCTTTTATGTATTTTCTCCCGCCCTCCACAACGCGCGTCACGGTGAGCGAGCGTCGTTTGGTGAGGTGTTAATCGTCTGCAGCCACATTCATCACCCAACATCACCCAACATCACCCAACATGGCCCTCGAGTCCTCCCTCACCCTCCTCGAACAGGCCGACGACGTCGCCTCCACCAGCCCCCAGCGCGCCGAGGAGCTCTACCGCGAGCTTCTCAACAACGACCAAGGTCAGTCAGCCAGACGTGGCCGTAGGGTCCCAGCTGACAGTGTACAGTGGATGAATCATCCCTGAGAGATAAAGAGAGTGCCTTGCTGAAGTTGGGGTCTTTGTTCAAGGATCAAAAGTGCGTTCACGGCAGCACCATCGACAGTGGACGATGCTAATTCTCTATCCAGCCGGGTCAATGATCTCGCAGAGTTAGTAACAGCTTCCCGAAGCTTCATGTCCCAGGTGGCCAAGGCCAAGACGGCCAAGATCAGTAAGCCGACCCTTCCAAGCGTAGCGTGGGCGCTGACAACGTCCAGTCCGTGGCTTGCTTGATATGTTCCCGGTCGAGTCTAGAGAGTTGCAGATGAAGGTTACGCAGGACAACATCGAGTGGGCTACGAAGGAGAAGCGGGTGTTCCTGAGACAGAGCTTGGATATCAAACTAATCTCACTGTGAGTCAATTCCTTCGTGACTGGTCAAGTACTCACAGACTTCAAGGCAACTTGATGCCGGCCAATATCGACCAGCTCTGACTGCGATCGAGGGTCTATTGAAGGAGCTCAAGCAATTAGATGACAAAATCATCCTTACCGAGGTCTACCTTCTCGAATCTCGAGCCGCCCACGCCATCCAAAATCACACACGGGCCAAGACCGCTCTCACTTCCGCCCGAACCACCGCCAACAGCATCTACTGTCCTCCTATACTCCAAGCCCAGCTTGATCTCCAGTCTGGTGTCATCATGGCTGACGACAAGGACTACAAGACTGGCTACTCCTACTTCTTTGAGGCGTTTGAAGGTTACACGCAGGTGGCAGAGAAGGATGAGCGAGCGCTGAAGGCTCTCAAGTACATGCTTTTGTGTAAAGTCATGATGGGTTTGGTGCGTGCTCGAATATCCTTATTGGCTAGTCGACCAGCTGACTTTGACCACAGCCGGATGACGTTTTCTCCTCCTTGCTTTTGAAGAGCGCTCAACCCTATGCTGGACGTGATCTTGACGCTATGAAGGCTGCAGCTGTCGCCCTCAAGGACAGGAGTTTGGAGAGCTTCAAGACCGCTTTGAAAGACTACACCCAGGGTTCGTGCATTCCTGCGTGCTTCCAAGCAACGCTGACGTTTCTTTAGAGTTGCAAAAAGACCCTCTAATCCGATCCCATCTTTCATTCCTCTACGACACGCTTCTTGAACAAAACTTGGTCCGAATTATCGAACCGTACTCGAACGTTGAGATTTCATGGGTCGCGGAAGAAGTGGGGCAGAGCTCGCAGGTGGTCGAGGAGAAGTGAGTCTCTTGTTGATCTTTGCCATAACCCCTCTGACCAGTGCACATCAGGTTGAGTCAGATGATCCTTGATGGCATCTTCCATGGCGTTTTGAACGAGTCTCTCGGGACACTCGAGGTCCATGACCAAGCGGCCGAAGAAGTGAGCATATGCCTCTCGTCGGGCAATTTGACTGACATGATTACAGCCAATCTACACTAGTGTTTCAGACACCCTCAAGAATGTGAACGAGGTTGTCAAGAGTCTCTACGACAAGGTGGGTGCCGTTTCCCACTGTTCTAGACGGGCGTGCTGACTTGATTGATAGGCTGCGCAGGTGGTGTAATGGGTTGTACAGTGAGCATTGAAGAAGATACAAGCATGCATATACCTGTCTGCTTTGACGCACAGACAATCCGGCGCAAGAAGCATATTGATGTAATGCATGCCGTTCTATGCTGAGACCCTATGGACAGATTCTACAAGATATGATACTATATGTGCTGACTACAACAATCCTGCCATTTCCTCAATTCGCCCCCTGGTCATTCTCAGTATCTTCTCGCGCGACAGCCTGGCTATGCTCGGAAGAAGGACGCGAAGTGGATTGGAGAGGGGAGTTCTGGAAGCGCCTGAGAGCGGCTTGCGCCACTTGGGTCTTCAAATCGCTCGTCTCTATCACAAGCTCGGGCAAGCCATCGGTCTCTGCCTCCTCTTGCTTCGTTTTTTCTTCACCGACTGTCCCCTCTGTCTCGGCTCGTTGGCCCTCCGTCCCCGCCCCGAACGCCTGTTCGGGACCGCCCGAGTTTGACGACGCAGGAACTTGGAGCTCCGCTGGACCTGCGCCATTCCCAGCAGCCCGATAATCACCTGTCGACGAGAAAGAGAATGGCGGATTCGCGTGCCACGGCGTCACGCTCCCCGACACACCCCCATACGGCGATGCCTGCGAGTGCCCTTCCTGACCCCGTGCCTCAAAAGCCCGTGGATACTGTGATCCTTCAGCTACAGGCCCTGCGATCCTTTCCAAAGCCTGTATCTGCTCTGGAGTGAGCAATGCAGGGAAGATGGCGGGGGAGCGGGTGCGTGGCCTGTCCGGTTGACTTTGGGCTTGGGATGGGGAAAGAGGTTGGGGGTGATGAAGGTACTGATGAGGAGGAGGGTACTGGGGGTATGGTTGAGGTTGATGGAGCGCGTAGGGGTAAGGTGATCCGTAGCCATGCTGGTACATCGGGCCCGGAGAGTAATGCGGCGCAGCCCCATGGAAATAGGATGGGCTCTGTGCGCCTCCGTATTGTGCCACTGGGGTGGTGGCGACTGATCGGGTGTATGACGAGAAGCGGGGAGCAGCACCAAGAGGAGGCGCTGGGAGGGGTTGGAACCTGCCAGGAATGATTGGTCCGCCCCATATACCCCGTTGTATCCCATGGTCCACAGTCTCAGTGCGGGTGGGACCGGGTACGGGCCGAGTAGGTTCGGAGAGGTTGGTGGGGGCTGCAGTTGGGGGGCGCGTCCGAGGAGGAGTGGCGGGGTCTTGACGGTCGTTGATGGGGAATAACCGATCGCGAAGAATGTCCCTCGCGCGGTCTGCTGCTCCCTCTGCTGGAGGCGCCGCAGCTGGCTGGGGTACGTCATGGGCTGGAGCAGCAGCCGCCGGCACGGGCACGACTGGTACGGTGGTCTGATCAGGTTGATTGAGAACATCTCGACGGCTATACGGCGTCAGCCTGTGACCAATCATGGTACGAAATACTCACCAAGTGGGACATTTTTGTTGCCTCTCCAGCCAGCTTCTGAGACAGTGGAAATGGAAGATGTGCCCACAGACAAGCTTCTTTGGCGTCTCATTAGGACCTCCCTCATCACCCTGAAGCCCTTCCCGCTCTCTCTGGGATGTAGTCATCATCTCCTCCCGGCAAATGATACAAGTCCTGTCTCCGTTCCGCTCCAGCTCATCTTCGGTAGCATCGGGATACCGAGAGTCCATATCTCTTGTGGCTTGGCGGTATCGGACAAGGTCCTTGCAGCGGCCGACAAAGGAGGTGAAGGTAAAGTAGACGTCACGGAGGATGTGAATGGGAAGACCATAGTTGAGGAAGATGACTGTGAAGAACATGAGGTATGTGAGGAGCTTTACAAAGTCTAGGGAAAGTCAGGATAGTACCGTTGATTATGTAGGCAGTGACTTACCGACGGCCAAATCCACATAGAACAGATACATGCTCTTGGCCTCCCAGGGCGGAGCGTCTTCCCTTCCTCTAGCTCGCCTGAGGTCGATCATTCCAATAGAGTACCTCGCCGCAGTTCCTGCAATTGAAGTTTGAAGGATGAGGAATTCGGTCGTGAAAATAATCATCGAAGAGACGCCTTCGGTCAGGATGGTGTTGAGGGCGTAGCTGACAAAGAAGAGATCAAGCACCATGAGTATGGTGATGATCCCCACCATGCGGGCGTGGAATGTTTTTGGAGGACCAGGAGGGGGGATCTGGTCCATCTACAATGGCCAACGTCAGCATAGTAGTGACACGTGGAGACATTGTGCTACCCACATAATCGACTCTGTCGGCTGTTATCCAGTGGAAGCATTTGAGGAAGATCAAGATACTGAGCATGAGTATGAAGCCGATGTTGAAGTCTTCTCTAAAGATAGCGAGGGCCAATAGGGACTCGGTCATGAATGCCCATAATCTCTCCCATAATCGCTATAGCGTTGGTGAGCTGGCAGTCCATATGGCAGAGCATTCACCGTCATACCTCATATTCGATAGCTCGCAGCTGACCAAAGAACAGCTTCTTGAGCGCGATACCCAAGCACAGAGCGTTGAAGAACAGAAAGTTGCCGATGACCTGTTTTTGAGCCATAAGCACCGGAATGACAAGCGGAAAGCGAGGACTAACCATTAAAGAGCCGCTGCTCTTCCCGACGGACACGGCTGCGGCATAGAAGTTTGCCCTGGACTGGAGAGCGGAGGCGAGGACGCTGGCTGCGAGGACGGTGGAGAGGACGCCATAGATGGCGAGGCGGGGCGGCATGGGGACGTGGCAGACAACACGGAATCACAAGAGCGGCAAATGATGCAGCCAAAGCCGTGCCACGTGGAAGCTCGCTGACGTAATGCAGCACGCGACGCGTCTGAGAAAAAGTAATGAGCTGAACGCGTTTCCGTCGTTTGGGAGCATCTCTGCATGCTGACGTTGACTGCCCGCCGCACCCGCATCCCCGCCATGGCCAGGTCGATCCCCAAGCGCGAACGATCCTCCTCCTCCTCGCTGTCAGACGCCCCACCCTCCCCCAAGCCTGCCCCGGCCAAAAAGCCCCGCGTCGCCAAAGGAAAAGTCTGGCCGCCAGCCGATATCGAACCTTCGCTCCACCCCGCCCGACATGGCCACCCCGTCTTTCAACTCCCCGCCCTCACAACCGCTCCTAATGGAGGTATCGCCCCTCCCAGCGATCGTCCCCAGCCAATGCTTCTTGGAGCCCACGTGTCTTCTGCCGGTGGTGTTGGTACTGCGCTGCTTAGAGCAGGACTTGCAGGTGCCAACGGTCTTGCGTTCTTCGTCAAGAGTCAGAGGCAGTGGAAGAGCAAGCCGTACGAGGATGAGGTTGTTGACAAGTTTAGAGATCTCATGAAGAGCAAGGAAGAAGGTGGTGAGTACTGTGCATGTTGCTTTCTTCTCAATCTCACTCCATCTCTAGGTATGGGCTATGGGCCGGAAAGCATTCTTGTACACGGCAGCTACCTCATCAACCTCGGTAATCCAGACCAGTGAGCTACATAGTGATTAAGATCACTACACATACTGACAAACGCAGGGCCAAATGGGAGACTTCTTATGAATGCTTCCGAGACGACATTGCCCGATGCCATCAACTCGGAGTCAAGCTCTACAACTGGCAGTAAGTTGAGGCACTTCATAGCTCGATTGGTGATCTGACAGGACTCAGCCCGGGATCCACCGTCGGCGCTTGTACCAAAGAAGAAAGCTTTGCCTCCATTGCCAAAGCTATCAACCAAGTCCACAAGGACGTTCCTGAAGTCATCACCGTCATCGAAAACATGGCCAACGCCGGCTCCAACATTGTCGGCACTGCGTGGTCCGACCTGGCATCCATGATCGCTCTCGTCGAAGACAAGTCCCGCGTGCGAGTGTGTATCGACACTTGCCATACTTTTGCTGCCGGGTACGATCTCCGGACAGAAGAGGCGTACAAAAAGACAATGAAGGAGTTTGATGAAGTGGTCGGGAACAAGTACTTGGCTGGAGTGCATCTGAACGACTCGAAGGCGGACTTGGGAGCCAACAAGGATCTACATGAGAACATTGGACTGTGAGTCCTCCTCTCCTGTCTGAGAATGTTGCTGAGACGGACGCAAAGGGGCAAAATCGGTCTGACCGCCTTCCGTTTACTCATGCGCGATCCTCTCATGGCCGGTATCCCCATCGTCCTTGAAACTCCTGCCCCGGACGGCCCCACCCCCTCCGACCACGTTTCCATCTGGTCCAAAGAGATCGCCATGCTCTATGAAATCCAGGCCATCCCTGACGACGAGTGGGACACCAAAAAGGTCGAAATCGAGGCGAGGTGGAGAAAAGAGCGGGATGCCATCAATCCGCCAAAGGAGAAGAAGAAGCCTGCACCAAAAGGGAAGGCGAAGAAGGGGAAGAAGGCGGAAAGTGAGGAAGATGAAGAGTAGGTGATTAGCATGGTATAGTTGCGTCAGAAGCGGAAAGGATATGCATCATGCTCCATTCCGCCACATGCGCTTGCGGCTCTCACTGGTATAGCTTCGATGGACGAGTCGAAGCTGGGGTATTACCTTGTTCTCACAAACTCTGTAAAGAACGAATCGAGTCCAGTGCTTCTGCTGCGAACAATTCTTTTGATGAATGACGGTATCTGGAATATTCACATATCTCGAAAGGAAGAGAAGCGGATGACACAGTTAGGGGAAATTTGCGACGAGGGGTATAAGAATGGGGGCTTTGACAGGGCATTTAGATTATCTGCTCCACATTCATCCAGACATCTCAACCATGTCCCAAGACGATGACAAGAGCAACAGGCCGCGCAGCGTGTACACCGCCTTCCCCTCTCAAGCGGGGTACAGTACCACCGACGCGCCCCCTTCTCGACCCCCCGCCTCCCCCGCCACTCGAGCCAGGATACAAGCTGCCTCTGCCTAATCTGCTGTTGAAGAGCCCCAGGAATCTGCGGTCGAAACGAATCCCCTCCAAGGTCGAGGCGTCCTTCTACGAATGCGAGGAGCGTTTCCCCCTGGTCTGCGACGAGGGGCCGTTTTACAGATGAAGAGAATGCGATGTTCTCCAAAATCATCAGCGACAAGGGAAGCGTCGGGCCTCCTCCTCCGACGGATGAGGAGGTGCAGCGACAAGCGAGGGCGAGGGAAGCTAAGGCAGAGAGCGGGGTTTTTGGAAAAACTCGTGACTAACCAACGATTAGTGAAAAGGTGGTGTGTCCAAGACCTTCACAAGAGAGGCATCGGGCCGATAGTTGCGAGATGCACACTTGACTGAACAGAGATATCACAATGACCATCGGCAACATGAAGATGATGTGTTGAAACTCTTCATTGCATTCATAGTGTCCTGCCTTTTTGCCACAATGAGGTGAGACATCGTATTGTCTTTGAACAGTTGACACTCTTTCGTCTCGGACGAGAATGTAGAGAGAGTGGTGCAATCGTCCCTGCGAGCTTTCCCGAGTCGTCGGACGAGGAGACTCCACCCAAGACAGTGTGCACACAGGAAGTGATTGTAGGGCCCATATATAGGCTGATGCATTATACCCGGAATCGATACAGAGATTATGACGGACTGTTGCACGATGCATCAAGGCCAAACATGTGTCGACGCCTAGTGCGTTATCTGCCCAGCTCAAATCACGTCAGATTACTCAACATGCAGCGCATGCCAAGCCTCATGTACTTGTACAATAGAGCACTAATGACATTATTCAAAGTCACCTCAATATCGCCGATGCACTCCTTTCGCTAAGCTTATGAGGAAGAAGGGTTCGCCCGTCATGAGCCTGAAAATTACCTTTCACAAGAAGAATCTGTCATGTGTATGGCTAGCCTTTCAGATTGGATCTGATAACAAAGATACAGCGGAGACTATAACCCACGTGAATGAATGGAAGCGCCGGTCGAGTGATTCCCGAGAAATGCTCCTGTAGGCGCGGCGGTGATTAGAACACCACATCAATGACCTTTTTTCTGGGCCGAAGTCTTTCTTTGAGGCTGGGTCTCAATATTGAAAAGTGGAAAGTCGAGTCTCACATAGAGGTCAGATACAACCCCGGGACAAGAAAATACATCCCGCAAAACGCCTGCAACAAAGTTGAAGAAATATGAGCGAAGCACAGAGAAATTTTCACCAGCGTGGCATACCAGCTTCTCGCAGGTCCTCAGGTGCTAGTAACACTGAAAGAAGAGGAGATCGAAGTAAGTCGCCCCCTGGCCAATGAGCTTGCAGCTGACATTCTACCTCAGCACCGCCTCACAACCTTCTTGTTGGCCTTCCAGCCAGTTCTCGTTCAACTACCTCAGCAGCCCGCTCTCTCGAGAGTGTCAACACCACCGCCGATCCCGCCTGGGATCCTCCATATGGTTCACGCCGACAATCTGCCCAAAGCAGCATCAGGGGAGGTAATCGTAGTCAGTCTGTTCAGCCCTGTACCTTTGATCTGTGCTCACCATGGACATAGCACCACCTCATAGCATGTCATCTCGTTCCACTCGTTCTTTACGCCATGTTCAGTCACCTACCTCCCCAGCAGGCCAACTGCAAGCTGCCTCTCGCCGCCCGCTTCTGCCTCACCAGCAGTATTCATATGCTTCAGATATGACTGGCGTTTCTGTTGGTATGGGCGAGCTCAGTGTATCCCAACGGAGACCAAACTCTATCAACTCCTTTCCCCCTCAGGAGGTCCACATCGGAGGACGCGACTTCAGCAGAAGAGACAAAGTCAGCCATTCGCATTTGCATGGTCCAGCAGTGTGGACATTGCCGGTGGGCATTGACCCTCCTCGAGAAGATGACGTTATCCCAGGTCAAAGAGGAAGCCGAGAGAATTCTGCAAATGTAAGCTTAGCTAGCAGCGGGAGCACATCTAGTAGCCCCGGGCCGCCAATTGAAGAAATCAGGAATGCAAGTAGTCGCTCTGTACAATGGAGAGCTCCGATGAGTAGCCCTTCTGATAGTAGCGGTCGTATTGGAGGGCCTTACAACAGGCCCCCAATCACAACTCCAACCGCTTCAACTGTAGAGCTCTCTCTCACAGCAGATACGGATGCCAAAGGAGGACCATCGTCAAGGGCGAGGCAAGTTCCATCACCTTGCGACTTATAAAGAGTGATGCTGACCTTTTCAAAGAAGCTATTTCGACCCCTGGGATGAGAAACCGTCCAGATGGAGAAGGTTATCCAACGCAAGCAAGAGTGCATTCAAACAATTTGTATCCAAGGGGAAACGACACAGCACCCCGGCGTCTGCGACTCCGTCGGATGTTTCCCCGAGTTCAGACCCCAGCATGATGGCGATTGTACCCAATCGACAGCCGTCCTATCCCTACGAAAGCATCCGGATAGCCACGTACAAGTCTACAGACGGGAACGGGTCAAAAGTGGACCTCGCTTTTCCTTTGTCCCCTCCTCGCATACAGGCAGCCAGCAGCGAAAGTCCCAAGTCCCCACCGGATCTCGGTACCACTGTGGAGGACGTTGAAGACAGCGTGGAGGTACCAGAAAGTTTGAGGAAGCCAGTCTACAAGCCAAGACGAGGTGGGCTGGGATTGCACGTCAAGACTGGAGGCTCATCAACCTCGCTCGCGGGCGGCACGACGCCGACAAGCGCAGCAAGTGGACTGACGCCGACCGTGGCGTGGTCGCCCTCTATGTCTCCTAGATCAATGCAGATGCCAGCGCCTGCGACCTGGGAAAGCATCCCCGAAGGCGACCCATCAGATGTAAGAGAGCAGCGTGCATCAACGGCCGAGACCGAGTTTACAG